TGGTAGGCATAAACCATATTGAGCACTAGTCTATCAGATGCAAGACTTAGGAGACAGATTCAAGTCATTGCTGCCTTGTTGCGTTCCACACAGCGGGTGGGTTTGAGGTTGGTTGGTTGAGACCAAACTGGTAGTGCAGATATGATGGAAGAGCTAGAATTGAATGTGGTGGTTGAGGTGCTGGTCGTTAGTCCTGTATTGTATTCTGATGTGGACATATGAAGTGCAAATCTTACTTAGCTGAGAGCGGATGTGAACTTGATGAGTGGCATGTCATCGGATTGAGCTACGTTTGCCTGATTGGCCTCGTTGGCATTGAAACAGGACCATGGTGCTTGCTGAGTTGCTTGACGACATCTGAGTTGGTCATGCCAAGCGACAAGGTGGGGGGGACAAACTTTTGGCTGGTTCCTGTCACTATTCGGTGTACCTCATCCGTAAGTGAGAGATTTGTAGGTTCTGGGTGTATTGGAGTAGTGACAATGTCGGTTGTGCCCATCGCATTATCGTGAGGTGGTGTGGTGTGTGTGAAGCCAGGGTTGTTGTGTTCTTCGAAACTAAAGTCGGAGATTGTGGAAATGCTGAAGGTGTCTTGCAAAGAATGGTCGTCAGTCATCATTGTAGTGGAAACCAATGTGTCTAGGCTGCTCATGGAGATGTCATCCAAAGGACGATATCTGTTGGAGTAGGCACATAGATGGTTTGGCACGGAACTTCCCAATGATAGTTGGTTCGAGTTAGGGGATGCTCGAGTTGTCCTGCTATCCAATGGTAGTTGGTAGCTCGAAGAATTTTTCGGTGACAGCAGGGTTCTGGTTGTGGCGAGCTCTGTGGATCGTTGATTTATGATTGTGTTGAGTCTCTGCCAGTCAGGTGTTGTTGTTGTGTCTGGTTGTAGAGAGTCTGTGTGAAAGGTGGCCAGGGGAAAGGTATCAATACTAGAAGTATCCTCGAAGTTGAGTGGCGTCATGGTTTGGGTCGAGTTCTCATCCCAATTGTGGGGACTCCACGGTATCTCTGAAGATGGGTTTCTGTACCAATGGTGTTGGGTAGTTGTTGGTGATGTTTGGACACCTATTGTATTTCCTGTATGTGGGTGGAATGGCTTCATGGTCGTCGTTGGAGTGTTATTAATGTAATCGATTTTGGTGCGAAGGCTTGAATTTATCAATTGCAGCAAAAAGTGAGTATTCTAAATATAATTTACTGGGATTGACAGAGTCAACCCATCAAGCCACAGTTCTGGTGCCGAGTGCAATCGAAACCATTCGGATTGATCCTCCCTTGTTGTCCGTCAGGTTTACTAGGCTACCGGTTAAAAATGCTACACGAGTCCCGAAATTCAAATTTGGCGCGGCTTGCTCCACGCTTCTCCTGACACGCGGTAACACACACACAAAATTTCTCGTGCAAGTGGTTGATCGCTTGGAATACACGAAACAGACACAGCAGACAGTGCACACAACCCATCAAACCAACAGCCATTATCAGTCAGTTGTGGCCGAGAAAAAGGTTTCAGTAGAGGTAGTTTGTTGGCACGCACATGCTAGTGTTGGTATTAATAGAGACTCCATCATCAATATAAAGAGACAATCTCCACGGCGGCCCTCTTTCAGTTCAGCGTGACAATTCCGCATTCTTTTTCCAGCGTGTTTTCTCCCAGTCAATCGGTAGCAACGAAAGAGAAAGAGAAGAAACAAGGGCCAACATGAACCCCACTCCTTGGTCTCACTTCGGCGGATCGGTCAATCCAATGCCTCATTCTTCGACCACTGCTGATTCTACCGGTACTTTGGCGCTTCCATCTTCTTCTGCCTCTTCTGCTTCTACTTCTTCCGCCACGGCCAGTGACAACAAGAGCAATAGTAGTGTTACCAAATCCTCTTCCGATAGTGGATCTGCGTTGCTCCGATCATTGCCCACGGATTCCAGTGGTGTCATTGCAGCGACGAGTGCCACGACTATGGACGGATCTGCCACACTTGACCAAAAAACGGACGGGCCATCTGCTGATCAAGTACCTCGACGCAACTTGTCGGAAGCCTTTGAGGAACTCTACATTGCCGCACCCGAACACGGAACACCGGCCATGAAGACATGCATGGATTCGGACAAGAATCAAGTCTCGACCAATATGATTTCTCCCACCGGAGTGGCGGATTTGCATCCAGCATCACCCGAGGAGTCTCCAAAGTCAGAGGGGGCTCCTCTTCCCTACTTTTCGTTGCACAAGGATCTCCAGAGAGACTTGTCGCAAGCGGTGATTAACCGGGTCTCCTTTTATGGTGTCATTCATGACATTAACAAGGAAGCCAGTGCCATGGCCGCCAATGACGATTCCGGTTTGAACCGGGCTCCGGAAGATATGCAGGAAGAATGCTCTCCTTTGGTGGAAGCTGTCAAGGGACCATCTGCCAATCGTTCGGATATTTCCAGTTCCATGATCTCGGCGGCATTGATTGATGAGGAGCGTTGGTTGCTATCGGCAATTGAGACGAGGGGAGATGATGAAATCCGTCCCATTCAGGCGTGTCCTCCCACCTTTTTGCAGGCCATGGGCGAGCGAGAGTACGAAAACCCTCTCGCGTCGCTCTCTAGTGGCAGTCGCACACAGCTCTGGAAGCCATCCCGTAGTTGGTGGGAGGCCAAGAGTGGAAAGAACCCTTGGATCGAACCCAAGAGTCACAACAAGCGATGGAGGTAAGTTACTGTTGTGCTACTACTGCCACTAGCAATGACTGGCTCATTACATACGACTCACATATCTTGCTATTGCTCTACTTAATAAAGGTACCTGTGGCCCCTCATTCACTACCACAAATTCTTGGCCAAGTGCATCAAAAAGCTCAAGAGGAATGGAGTGGATGTCAAAATGTCGGTATCTCCCGTTGCGGCCTTTTTGAGGGAGGAAGTATGTGCCGTCTCGGACCATTTGGCTACTGTCTCCCTCTTTGATTCGGAGGAATGGATGGGCTGCTTGCAGCACTTTACCGGGTGGACCGATACCCGAGCCACGGCGCAGACCAATTTGCGCATGTTGGTGGCACAGCTCCACTTGCGACCATTGGCGGAACATGGCGATGTGGAGAGTCCACTGTTGCGCAGTCAGATTGATGAGCAGTTTCTTCGGGCCATGGCTGCGGCGAGATCTCAGATGGAATTGGGATCGGAACAAGACCGTCAGAAGCATGGCGGCAAGCCACCCACTTCGCGACCTCCCCATCATCCTCGCCATGGAATGGAAAACCTTCCACCCCACATGCACCAAGTTCCCAACCACGTCGGTGTCGGAGGACAAGGCCATCGTGGCACTGGAATTCGTCGTCCTCGGCTTGGATACTCGTATCCGCATCAGTGGTGGGGCCAAGGATGGCATCAGGGACACCACCCTCACCAGTATCCATTCGGGGATGACGCTAGCGTGCATTCCTCCTTGTCGAGTGAAGCCTTTTCGGAATTTGGCATGTACGGTGCACCACCAGGCCCCAATGGCCCCTACTACCCTCCTGCTTACCACCATCCTCATGGGTACGATCATTCCCACGGCCCGGGAGCTGGATATGATCCCAACATGGCGGCGGCGGGTGACCATCACGGCATGTATCCTATGCATGCCCCATACCATCCCGAACATGCTGGTCTTGGCTTTTTTGGACACGCTCCTGTGGATCCCAGCATGGCGTATGGCATGCAACATGATGAAATGGGTGGATACTATGGGGTGCCACCTACTCCCAAGTCTCCTCACCATTCGTCGCCTGCCCCTCATCATCAAGGGCAGCAGCATACGATCCAGGAGAATGGTGGAACTCAGATGGATGGAACGAATGCCATGGCAGCGGGAGCGCAGACTCCCTACAAGTATGATCCGTCCAAGACACCTCGTTCTCCCTATTGGGGACACTTGGACGCTACGATTGCCATGGGTCTTTCGACACCACAAACACATGTCAAGGAGAACCACCATCCGTTGATGTCGCCAGAGGAAGGAGGCGAAGAGGGTGCAGTAGGAGCGGCCCAGCCACTTCTTTTGAGGGGGTCTCAGTACTATGGATACGGTCCAGTCAGCAATGTAAGTGTTACAGTGGTGATTCTTATGCTGTTCAACTTCAGCCTTTCTAAACTTGTGTGTCTTTGTCATTTGCAGTATGGCCCTCCCTCTCCCGCTACACAGTTTTTGATGTCGCCTCAGGCAAACTTTGCTTTCAATTATGGGTACGGCTACTCGCCCGCGAATGGCCACTTGCCGGCTCATTTCAAGCAATCTCCTGGGTTTTACGGCGAAGGGACGAATCTTTGTTCCTCCTTGAAGGAAGTGGCACCTGGGCTGTCTCCTTCGGCTTCAACTCGTCGAAAGCAATCAGCTTTACCTGGAGACGACCGCGAAAGCCCCTCTACTGTGGAGACCATTACAGAAAGCGAAACTCTTTCGGAAGGCACCTAAGCATTTGATTTGCCCACAGCATTACGAACAGACCAGACCAACATTACACAGCAGCGCAAACAATCAATCTTACAGTGGAACCGGAATCTATCTCTAGTGCGATTCTTAGAAACCTATATCTCTTTAAAGTTGACAGAAAGTAGTAGCATAAATGCCAATATAACAATGTGGCGAACAATAGCAACATCTTTTGATACATTCCGTTGCCGTAGGTACCGGTAGAACCCTGTTCGTTGCCCTTTTCCTTCCTGCCACAATCTCCAATAGTATCTCGACAGCTTGGACGTGATTGTATGAAACGTCTTTGCCTGCTGAAGAGGAGGGCACGTAGATTCGATTCAAGCAGCATTGCTATCGCACTGGTACCGTTGTTGTGCTCGTCACTGTTGAGACCGTAGTACCAGCAAGTAGCTATCTACCGGTATCTGGGCCAGGGATCAGCCTGGACGGGAAGGTATAAACCCTTCTTGTCCTGCAGAACAGGAAGGCATTCGTGTCGCCGAACAACACGAAGCCTAGCATTCTTCCGGTGCAGTAGCTGCATATCAGAGGCAAGAAAGAGCAAACGTTCAGTGGAAACAAGTTCACTGCTGGGCCAAAAAAATGAATCAGTCCCATACTGTAACTTGACGGACATCTGCACAATAGTGTCAATGCTGTGTCTTTCAACGAAGATTCCAGGCATGGGAGAAAGATCCATCTGATTTTTGTTCTGATAGCCACCCTCCTCTGCGTTGGCTGCCCACCATCATCACAGAGAACTTTGTTCCTACCCTCCCTGTCTTTGAAAATGCTACCCATCTCAGCCCCTTCGTCAACAAAAATAGCTAGAGAAGTGTGCGTCGGGAAACATGGCCGTAGATGTTGTACCAGAAAAGATCCGTAACACGTGTACTGGCTCGTACGAAAGCCATGTGAGTACGAATGCCCAATTAGCTCTGACGTCATACAGCTCATTGGAGGAAACCAAAAGGAGAGGGCTTTGAAACCACGTACACTTGCCACCATTGCTCTCCGCTGACTCCTTGCCTTGCCTTCGACCTTCTCCCTTTGATGGAGCCTTGATAACAACGACGACGTCTGCACTGACCAGAAGAACAGCCAGAAGAAAACTCGGTGGTAGTCTTACACTATCTGGAGTCGAGTCAGCAAAAAGTACACAGTGTAGTCTTTGCTATAAAGCAGATTGTGTTGCAAATCTTTCCTCACAAGCTTAATTGTCGCTGAGGTTCTTGTTCAGGTATGCATTGCTGCTGCTCGTGTTCTGGTAGCGCTAGAAGACGAACTGGTCGTCGAGTTGAGGTATTTGTTCTTTGTGGCCTAACCTGCTCTGTTTTTCGTGCTTTCCTCCTGTGGTATATACCCATAGACAATACCATACTCCGTTATCCCGCCACCAGCGTAGCCAATTATCATCAAAATGCCTCAATCTACCCAGAATTCCAGAAGGAGAAGCCTCGTGTTTCCAGGACGATTTGTTTTTGCCACTGCTCTGTTGGCACTTCAAGCAGAAGCTTTCTCAGGCTCGAACAATCAGCAATGGCGTCCCAGCACCCTGGCTCAACGAGATTCTACCCATGAAATCGCCATGACGGCGACTTTTGACAAGGTTAGCACTAGCAGTATTGCAGCCAGCCGTCCAAAGCCTGTCGTTGTGTCAGAAGAAGCCGAGGCACTCAGTCACTCTACCACAACAATGAAATTGACACCCAGTTATGAATTATTCCAAATGTTGACGGAGGAAGAAGGAGGCACAGTGCCTGAGCTCACCAGCGGAAACTGTCTACGAGACGGCAGTGTCTTGAAGAATGGTGACGAGGATACCATGGAAGGGGAACAACTCGCGGAGTATAAGGGGCTGGGAGGTAGCAGAAAGATTGAAACTCTTCCTGATCCCTTCAAAATGGTCGAGAAGGAACTCAAGCCCTTCGCTGACTCAATTTCCGAGTTGGTTTCTTCTGACCAGCCCATTCTATCCATGGCAGCAAAGCATTTCTTTGAAAAGAGACATGGAAAACGATTTCGTCCCACCATTGTTCAGCTGGTAGCAAAGGCAGTGGCTGCTGCTGAACCGGAGGCAATCCTCCAAGATGACGGGGAAACATTCACTTCTGAATTTTTGCTCAACAAAGATCCGTCAGACTTTGAAAAGACTGGAGGTGTAGCCGGATGGCAATGGAGTGGAGCGTCCAAAATTGATGTAGAGGGGGGGATGATCACACCAGAAAACCACAAAGGATCCGATGTGTGGCGAAAGCAGGCGCAACTGGGACAAATTGTCGAAATGATTCACGTAGCCTCGTTGATTCACGATGATGTTCTGGATGAAGCCGACACACGTCGTGGTGGTGAAGCTGTGCACAAGCTCTATTCGAATAAGGTTGCTGTGCTCGCTGGGGATTACCTTCTCGCCCGAGCATCTGTACTTCTTGCTCGACTAGAAAATACTGCCGTTGTGCAGATCATGGCCACTGCACTGGAATCACTGGTTGCTGGAGAAATCATGCAGCTCAAGAGTGCTCCAGAAACTTTACTGGAAATGGAAACATACCTTCGAAAATCCTACTACAAGACTGCTTCCTTGATATGCTATGCTGCTCGCTCCACAGCGTTGCTCGGAGGGCATGCATACGGCTCCACCGTTGCTACGGCTTGTGAAGAATTTGGATTCCACTTAGGTCTGGCGTATCAGATTCAAGACGACATTTTGGATTTCACCGCTGCCGCCACCGTTCTGGGTAAACCGGCTCTGGCTGACATGGACTTGGGTTTGAGTACAGCTCCAATCTTGTACGCTGCACAAGAAGCTCCCCACCTGCGACCACTCGTCATGAGGCGATTCAAGCAGAAGGGCGACAAGAAGGCTGCACTCGAAGCACTGTATAAGAGTCCCACTGCCATGAACAAGGCTAAGGAATTGGCCAAGTTCCATGCACAGGTACGTCGTGGCGTGTGGTGTCGTCCTCTTCTTTTTCAGAACATTCCCTCACCCTGTTTAACTTGTCGATGATGTGCCTCGTCTCCTCGATTGCTCTGTAGCGAGCGGTGGATGCTCTGCTACGCTTGCCACAATCGGAATCGCGTGATGCTTTGGTTCGGTTGACTCATGCTGTAGTAACACGAAAGAAGTAGATGGCCACATCGGAAAGAGGTGCGACCCGACTCGACTCGACTCGTCCAAGCAGCTCCTGCACTACAAATAGAGGGAGAATACAATGCCTTCAAAACTAAAATGCAACAGAAACAACAACGATGTACAGAACCGAAACTCCCTCAAACACAATGCACTACTGCGAGGCAATGAAAAGATTACACTACTACTACTTTGCGATAGAAAATTGTCTAGTGAACCACTTTATAAATAAAAAAATGAGCGCTACCGAGCGGAACTCCAGTTGTTCCAATGCTATGAATGATAGTCTAGTTTGCACGAAACTGCTCCGTGAAGTTTGTTTATCACATGACTGTGGTCTGATAGCTTGTGAAGTCCTCCATGAAAATGGCATGGGTTCTCTGTAATCAGGTGGACTGAAAAGCTCCTGACTCCTCCACCGGCAGATAGGACGAGACTGCATGTCACTCAGGATTATCATCCGGTTCCGTACGGTAGGATTAGGCACCAGAGAAGAATTTCGGCCGCTTCGGGGCAGCCTCTCACGATTTTCCAAGCATACCTTTAGAAGGTTTAAACCGCAGCATGGTGTTTTGAACTGGGAACTGTCACCCAGTGCTAATACTACTAGGAAAGAGGGGTCGTGGTTACCTGCGTTCGGTCAACCCTTGATAGCTCCCTTGATCCATTGCTGCGGGAGTTGATTGAGTTGATGGGGGGATCGCAATTTGAACTTTTTATTAGCAAAAGGTAAAATGACGAAATAGTCAGTTTGTTTTACGGTACTAAATTAATGCCACCTGTACCTTTATATGAAGCTAGCTAGCTACCGGTATCATTTCCAATACATTTCTAACAAAAAAGAGTGAAAAAGGACAAAACCGCCACCCAAACAAATCTAGGCCGCAAGGACCTCCTCTCTGGGTGCATCACGTTTCCGTGCGTCCCGATAGCTCACCGAGGGCGAACTTCAAAGCTTACAGATCCATACGTACCTGACTCGCAACCTTTAGGAGGTGCACATTCACGACCCCACCTCACTCCGAACCTTGGAGGTGCTGGTTCCGGTATCAGAAAGCTCTCAAGATACGGTAGGTCCAAAATGCCTTACCCCCCTTCGCACCTTTTACCAACATGCGAAAGTGGAAGGTATCTCGCACTTTTAGCTTTACACTCGCTGTAAAGATAGATCTACTAGTAGTAGACTAAGAAAGCTACCCTCTTTTTTTGACAGAAAATATTATTGAAAATGCTCATTCATTCGATTCGATTCGATTCGATTCGATTGGAATGATCATTCGATTCATCGATCATCCAATATTTCAAAAAAATTGTCAACTCCTCGTAACAAAACGTCCGAGTCGGGCGAAAATTGGACAGCGTGCGCTGCCCACGCTGCCCTTGTAGCTAAACCCGTCAAAACTACGATCATACTGGTTGGACCCACGGAGTGAGTAACGCACATTATTGCACACGGTAGCACGGATAAGACTGCAGGATCTTTCAACCAGACTAACCACCGAGGAGATAGTGTGACTGTGGTAGCGGACACGCGAAACGAAGATTACCCTGGATCGACATTGCAAGTCCATCATCATCATTATCATTTTACGGTATACAGGTAGCTGAGATACCCCTCCACCACGAACCACAATATTTGAAGAAAGAAAAAGAGTCATTTTATGAACCACAGCAGCAACTCTCACCACCACAGGACAAAGAAGAACAAGATGGCCCCACCCAAAGGAGAAGATTCCAGCGACCGTCATCACTATGACGATGTGGAATTGGCCAGCTTGGATGGATCTCCCAAAGCACGGCACAATGCCCTGTCCTCTGCCAAATTGCAACAAGACCACGGTCACCTGATATCACCTCCCACGCTACTACACTCCAAGAATCCTCCCGTCCCATCCCCCACCAAAGCCAGCAATACCACCAATACTAGCAGCAACCACAGCAGCATGAGCGCGAGTAGTCTGCAAGGCAAGGCCGTTTCGGCGTGCTTGCTGTATAGTTTCTGCAGTGTTTCCATGGTGCTCACCAATAAGAGTCTGGCATCCAGTTACAGCGACAAAACACCCATCGATTTGAATATTTTACTGGTTGTCTTTCAGGCACTATTTGCCGTTTTTTGCGTCGATTTCTCCAAACGAATGGGATGGGTAGAATATCCCGAGCTGACGGTAGAAACCATCAAACTATGGGTACCCGTCAATCTCTTTTTTTGTGCCATGCTCTTTACGGGAATGGCATCCTTGCAACACAACTCGGTACCCATGGTCACCATCTTCAAGAATATTACCAATATCATGGTCGCCGCAGGAGATTTGACCTTTTTTGGTGCCTCTGTTGAAGCACTCGTCATTGCATCCTTTGCCGTCACACTCAGTGGAGCCATTGCGGCGGCATGGAATGATATCTCCTCCAGTTGGATGGGACTCTTCTGGATGTCGGCCAATTGCGTGTCGTCGGCAGGATACGTCCTCTACATGAAATACGCCACCAAACACATCAAACTGTCCAAATTCGGAATGGTGTTTGTCAACAATCTTCTCTGTGCCGTCTTTCTATTTCCAGTCTCCATGATGAAGGGAGAAGTTGTCATCTTTTTCTCCACCGGGGCCCTCCATACCTTGGATTACTTTGGCAAGAATTGTGTGGCAGGATTCATGGGATTCTTTCTCAACTTTGCCGCACTCAACTGTGTCCAAACCACGGGCCCTACCACCTATGCCGTCGTCGGATCACTCAACAAGATTCCCGTGGCATTGCTCGGATATCTCATGTTTGACAGTGAGATCTCGCAACAAACATGGTTCTTTATCTGTGTCAGTCTCTGTGGAGGATTCCTCTACTCGTATGCCAAAATCCGACAAGCAGGCCACAAGACGGCACAGGGAAGCAAGTAAACTTGGCAAGCAAAATCAATTTTGGGGGAACCACCAAAGCAACACTGCCGAGTTCCAAATTATAGTAGACTGAAGGAAGTGATGAAGAGTCATTGCTTGCTTCCTTCTCCAGTGGCGTCACACACAGAGTTATTATTTAGTGAGAGAGAGATTATTAATTCCTCTTGTATAAACTCCACCGTTATCCATCTCTTTTTGCAGTTATTGCCACTAAATGTTGCTCGAACCTGAACTAAATACTAGCTAGCTGTCAAGGGAAAGGACCCAGTGGAAGCCGAAACAAACGGGTGCAAAATCAACCGGATCCTTTCCAACAGATGTGTGGGCTCGACTCGTACACGTGTTGGATACAAACATTGCTAGATTGATGATCGATCCGTTTTGAGCTGCATGCCAGTGCGGTGCAACTGTCTCCCTGCTGCCAGCTTTCGTACTACGGTACCCCAGACACCAACTGGGCAGAAAAGAGCAAAATTATTGTTTGGCCTATCCATTAGCTAGCCAGAGCATCGAATGTCTGCATCTCTCACAACGTCATGCCAAAACGTAATAATGAATTCACCTCTTTGCACTCGCCTGGACTGCACTCCAACTTTCCCATGCAGCCGCAGCGGTTCCCCTGCGTTCTGGAGCCCAAACGGCTTCCTTCACAAACGGTGCTGTCTGGGCGGATTCGGTCCATTGATTCATGTACTCTCCGTAATCATTGTCGCTCATGCTGGTGAGGGTGTCATTCTTGGCCAACAGAGGAGACAAATCTTGATAGTTCACCAGCTTCTCCACCATGTGCAAGGCCGACTGAGGTCGAAACTGAGGCACCATATGTCCCGATCCATGAAACGTCAAGAAGGAAAGATTATTCTCATAGTTGACAATGTGACCGGCCATCTGTGGTCCCATGTCTTGCACCAAGAGTCCCGGACCAAAGAGTGGTGCCTTTTCGGCCAATAGTTCAATCGTAGTAGCGGTGTGATTGAAGAACCACGGTCGGTAGGCTCCACCATCCAGTTCTGGGAAGCCGACCCGTTTGATGGCGGTGCGGGTTCCTTCGTAGGTGACACAGGGGTCTGATGATGATGATGATCAAAAGTGGAACGTCAGTGACACAAACAAACCAAAGCAAGCCATCCATTCATCCATCTCAGCAGGCGCAACGTAACGTACCGGTATCTCCATTGTAAACAAAGGCAATTTTCAATCTTGGTACAATATCTTGATAAAAGTTGATCATACTCCAGGCTCCTTCGTCAAAGTGATTGTTGCAGGCATCGTACTCTTTTGTGTAATCAAATCCAATGGTGTCATCATGGGGCCACTGTTTCGTGGGTGCATCTTGCACATGCAACGCCTTGCGGACATCGTCTCGTATCATCCATGTTGCCATGTCCTCATCTTCCTTGTTGGAGACCGGCGCAAAGAGACTGTAGTCGTCAATGTACAAGTCACTCCATCCCTGAGAGAGTCCTGCCGATGTACTGAGAAGATATTTGCGTTGTGCCAAACGGCATTCGGGTGTTTCGTCGTGACCCGGCTGATTGTGTCGTCGACGATTAACAATTTTCAGATCGCTCCAGAGTTCTTCGGCATGGTCCCGCAATGCTTTGTCAATGTCTACATTGTCGTTGTTGTTGTCTTGTAATAATAGCAATAACTCTTCCTTTTTGGCCTGTAGTTTGGCATTCAATTGCGCGGCGACGAGATGCTTCCCTCCTTGGGTCATGAGATTGGGCGATCGGACATTGCACTTGTTCCAGAGTAAATCGTATGTTTGTTCATCCACAAGACCATATTTGAATCCATACCAGAGTGAATCCATGGAATCTTGTTGTGCCGTGTTATCGGTACAGGGATCTCCGACGGCAATGCCCTTGAGGGGTACCTGTTCGGCAGCATGATCCAAAATTTCCTTGGTCAAGGTGGGAATGTACACACCCGCGTAGGATTCTCTGATAGAGATAGAATCGGATTCGATTCAGTAACAAAATGACATGGCAGAGGAAGAGTGTTGAAATGAGGAATACAAAGAGCATCCAATAAGAATGAGACAAGCTTGCTATCAATCATGTTCTAAAAACTCACCCCACGATAAAAAAGTCGTTTTGGCCCAGTTCCGGAAATTTGTCTTGGAAAAAGTCGACCATGGCAGCCCGCGACGCCGATGCGGTGAACTTGTCGGTGTTTTTGCATACGGTTCCTTTCTTTTGATTTTCGCAATAACTGTATCCCACTCCGACGGGTGCCTCTAGGGCAAATACATTGGCAACCTTGGTCCATCCATAGGGATTGTCCATCAATCCTCCCGTGGCATTCATCAAGAGGGGACCCAGTTCTTGGAGAAACCCGAGAATACTCGAACTGCCGGGGCCTACTCAATCAATGAATCAACGATATCCACAACAAAAACCAGATGAAAAAGAGTCAGTCAGACACGGAACATGACCGTCATCTTCCACTTCATTTTAAAAGAGCACTACATCAATCATACATACCTCCATTCAACCACAAGATGGTAGGTTTATTCCATGGATCTTCTTCGGCCAACGCCAACCAGTAATGGAGATAACAGCCATTGCCATTGGTGGCCGTATCACAGCCCGCCGTGGCATTGAGGAATCCCGAAAACTGAGGTGTCGGAGGACGTCCGTATCCCGGAAGATAATCGACCAAATCTCCCAAAGGGGCAGCAGATACCGGACTACAACAAAGTAGTAGAGAGGAGGATAATACTCCCAGAAGCTTCATCTTTTGGATAGGCAACAACAGCAACGATCTAACTTCTCGTAAGTCTGTCGAACAATGCTCGTTGCTCGTGAAATAATGGGTGCGAGCGAAGAAAGATCCAACGCAAAATCTTTCTTGACCGTTTCCTTTCCCTTCAGCAGACTTGACTTCTCCGACTGCTGTCGCTATTAATAGCCAGCACAGCTGGACTTTGTTGATGCCACGTGGAAGAAGCTTCCTTTCGTTTCTTGTGTTCTTTATTTGTTCTTCCTCGTGAAGCACAACAAACACATCAATCGCATCCCATGATAACTGCATCTGCTGAACTGCAAAGAGAGACTACAAAATGGCACTACCTACAACTATGGAAGAGGACCGAGACGCGTCGCTGATATTAAAAGCCAGAAGAGACCTGATGGCTGCTCATGAGGGTAGCATGCTGCAAAGAAGGAGGAATACGAGAAATCACTGTGGTTCCACTGACGTTTTTCGCTCGAATGGGAATAATAGACGCTACAGACACAGTAGCAGGTGTCTGTTGGTAGCATTATCAATTGTGGTAGTGTTATCTACCTCTCCAGTGGCAAAGGCAAATCCCCAAGATACCCCCACCACCATTGGCCAAAATTCCAGAACGCGTGGGTTTCTAAGCAGATGGAGGGGTATCATCCACAAAGATCATTCGCGAACGAATAGCAACAATCTGCAACTATTCCAAGAGCATGACCCTGAAGAAGATGGAGACGAAATTGTTTACGACCACAACTTGCCTTTTCCAATGGCAGAGGGTGATGATACTGCCTTGTCACAACAACAAAGAAGAGAACAAGTGTACGAAAAACCCGCCCTGGCTGCCTTGTTGGCCACGAGTAGTCCACTGTTGCAGTTTTCCAAAAAAGCACTCTGGTGGACAATCTGTTTTTACGTGGGAAAAACCATGTGGAAAGCCATGCAAGAATTGGCAGAAGAAGTCGTTCAAGACTTGACGTCCACCGGAGACGATTCGTTATTTTGTTCGCGACACGATCTCGAACGGATTCTCGACGCAATCAAAGAACAAGACGCTCTCTCGACGACGGTGCCCCGTCGAGAACTCGAATTGGCTCGCGATTTGCACTTGGCAGGCCTTCCCCTTCGTCATAACAATAATAATCAGCAGGATGGAAGAACTTCGGTAGAAGACTTGTTTCAAGAATTGACCACCACCGAAGCGTCGATATTGCAACAATGTTTGTGGAGACCACCACCGGCCGTATTAAGTCAACCGGGGGCACTTTGGGACGACGTCTTGGGACTGGACGGAATCAAGGAACGACTCCTCATTATGGTAGCGTCGTCGATACAAGCCATGACGATGCCTAATGACAGCCACCAGAAAAATATTGTACAACGAACCCAAGAGACCTACGCGTCCTTGTTGTCACCCGGCATGTCGTCGTCGTCATCCAGTACTACCAATCAACATTACGGTGTCTTGTTCTACGGTCCACCCGGGTGTGGAAAGAGTTTTCTAGTACAGGCGCTGGCGGCCAAGCTACGAGCACCCTGTCTCGTCGTCACGCCGTCGGTATTGATGCGAAAGTTTGTGGGGGATACCAATCTGCAAGTGCGGGCACTCTTTTCATTGACCAAAAAACTGTCGCCCTGTATCTTGGTGCTCGATGAACTCGATGGGCTGTTTCGGGAACGGCACGATCACGAACAGGATGTCAGTCGAGAACTCAAGACGGAATTCTTGCAATGGCTGTCCGGTATCATGACCACCAGTAGTAGTAGTGGTGGCAGTGGCACTAATAGCAGTGATGATCGTCGACAACCCTTGATTGTGGTCGGAGCCACCAATCGGCCCTTTGATGTCGACTCGGCCATCTTGAGACGACTCCCGCATCGATATTACATTGGTCCGCCCAACTATGCGGCAAGGTATCAGATCATTGAACGACTCTTGAAAGGCATTCCACTGGGCGACAATTTTTGCATTCACTGTGTGGGGATCCGAACAGAGGGGTACACGCCCAGCGATTTACAACAAGTATTGCAAACGTCTGCCAGGATGGGTCCTCTACGAGATGCCATGATACAACGACAGCGAGAATCACGACAGACGGCAGCGGGCCTGCTGGATCCCTTATTGACGAATCTGCCTCCGAATGGACCCATTCGATCCCTCACCATGCAGGATGTAATGAATGCCTTGGCATGCGTCCAAGCCTCGCCATTGTCGCCAAACTATCGGCACTCGCTGCAGGCATTTGCCAGGAGAAATGGCGGTGGAGTTGGTAATAACCACGAGGGTGTTTACGTTCAAAAGCATTTTGTACCAGGCAACCCGTGGGGTATGCATGTGCTGACAATGGGGACGCTGCAGTTGCCTTCGCTGGATGCGGATGCACGAGAGTCGCCGTCCTACATTCCTCCTCCAGCGGGGGCTTCGTCGTCTGGGGAGGGCTTTGAGCCTGACCTTATGGACAGTGGCGACAATATGAGTGGCGACGGGGAAGACTTTGACGATTTTTTGTCAGAGGACGATGATTTTGATGATGATGACGACGAAGAAGAAGAATTTGAGCTGTAGATTCGATTCGATAAAGCTGACCGAAAGCAAATAGCTCTACTTCTCATCTTACTTCTAGCCAGAAGTGGAACGACTAATTAGACCTTTGACAATATAATCTATTGAAGGCAGACACAAACATCAAAGTCGCCAATGAGCCTCGACTCCAGGTGATTAATCTTGAAAGAAGACCTTACAAGGCACCTGTCTCAACAAGCTCCAGGTCTCCAGTGGGTATAATAGCATAGACAAACTGATTCTTCACATCACCCAAGTCCCGGCAATGGATTCACCAAGATATTGCAAAATGATCTTTTCAGACTACTAGCAGCTACAGTATCATGCACTGCACTGGGTGCTGAGGGAATATGTTTTCGCCCAACAAACCTCAGAAATCCTTTCACGTTGCTTCCGTCTTTGGTGGCCGGCAAGGAGCAATGAAATGATAACAGTCTACTAGCTAGTAGACTATGCTGCCTTGTTGCCTTGTCCTTGCTTTCCATACTGTACTAGTTTGTACAAAAAGCAATCTTCTATGATGATAAATGGAGACAAAGAAACAGAGTGTTTTGCAGCCTTGCGGGCTTTCGGTACGTGTCCAAGGAAGATTCTTCGCCGTGTGCCAACTTCCTAAAAGCTTCTGTCGGTTCTATCATCAGTGCATCCCGCAACCATGGACCAAGTGAAAGCCAAGGCCGATGCAACCAAGCAGGGGCTTGGCTCTGCTCTGCAGAAGGGAAGCTCTGCTGTTCAGAGTGCCACGAAAGGAGTGAAGAAAGCCGTCAAGAAAACGAAATCTGGCGTGAAGGATCGGATGCATGCCGTTGGCGATGTTGTAAAGGATGCCTCCGAGAAATCTCGCGGTATGCTAGGTTCCAGTGCTTCACGCACCCGAAGCGGAGGAGGGTCTGTGTTACCTGAAGAACGAGAAGAACCTGTGGTGACGGAATCCTCGCCACTTTTGAGTCCAGAAGACAAAAAAGATGATGGGAATCAAGATGACAAAAAAGAAGCGTTTGCTGAGACTGGCTCTACGGAAAGCAAAGAGGACGAAGACAAGGCAACCATTCTATCCAATATCTTAAACTGGATCCACCAGAACAATCAACCAGTGCTGGCCGCCATTGGTGCCGTTGCAGTTTATCAGCTCTTGGCGGGAGGGTATCAAGATGTCTGGAACAACTCAGTACCTATTCCCATGTTTGCTGTGTGGATATCACTTGGACTCTTGATTGGTGGAGTATTAGGAAGACTCCAGGCCATTGAGGAAATGGAGATGTTACAGAGGAAGAAGGAAGCAGCGAGGGCCTTGGAAAGAAGAGAAACAGAAGACAATATGGTCGAAAGTGCTCCCGGTAGTGTGAGATCCCTTCAGAAAGCAGCGAAGGTGTTTAGAAAGCCGTGGACTACCCTGAGGCGAACACACACAAAACGTACGGAAAAGAAAAGGTGGAGAGCCCATGATAAGGTTAATTTGGTGTCTCAATCCATGACAAAAGCTCTGTTTGGAGTGGTACCCAAGGAGCAGAGAAAGAGTCTGATGCAGGTGGGAGTCACCGAAGAGCTTCTCCAAGAGGCACAGACCCAAGATGAGAGCATGGAAATGTTAGGAAGTGCCATCGACGATCCTGATAAGCTTCGGGCCAAGAGTCTGGAGCAAGACTATGTCGAGACTCTGTGCCCTTTGCGTGGTATTGACATATTCCAAACGGAATGTCCTGACAGCGACTTGGCAACACATCCCTTTTTGATTGAGCACGGGTTGCGAGAACGGCCTACATTTATTCTCAACCTCGTCACTCAATGGGGCAATGTGACCATGTATTACGAGTTCCCAGACTGGCTGCAAGATTGGGACAACGTGCCTCCTGAAACGGAAAACGACCGGGAAGATACAATTGCCTTGAAGGTGAGTTTTTGTTGCCTCGAATTAGAGCAAACCGCAGAAACCTGTTGACTGGATGCATTTGACCTTTTTCTCTCTTTTTACGACGTAGAGATTTCTTGCTGGTGACGAGGAATACCGAAGCAAACGACTAAAGTTACTACCCGTTCTTGTTGATGGTCCTGGCCCGATCAGATTCGTTGCGCCCGCGAAGAAAACCTTCACAGTCGTCCGACCAACCCTGCCTTGTACGTGGAAACAACACGACGCAGTCAAAGATGCCGATGGGAATATCACTCAGCATTGTTGTTTGGAGTTGGTGGGAGACGTCATGGTGGACAGAGGAATGAGGACCGCTGCGGTCTTGGTCAAACGATATCTGGGTTCCATCGTTGGGGACTGTGCCCTGTTGCTGGAAAAACCCGACGACCAAAAAGAGGAAGAACCCAGAGCTTGCCTCGGCCTGTGCCGATTTGATCGCATCGTGGTTGAGTCCTGCCCGGACATGCCGCCCAGAGAGGACGAGGACAAGACGGAGGAGGAACGAGACATGCGTCGGGCCAGTATGTTCATGGGGAAGCCGTTGGTGCTGGACGAGTAAGACGCCAGCCCACAGTGACCGAGCCTCCCTCGTTGCTGTCATCGCGACAGCACTGTAGGGTCAAAGTTCAAGCTTGTTAGTGAACTCAATCAAGACCTAACAAGTACCTGCCTGTACTTTTTGTTTTCTAAGATAGCAATTTTTCTCTACTGGCTAGCTAACAGAATAGAATGATTTCAGTCCTTCTTGGCAGACTTTTTTCTGCCTGGCTTGCCGGGTTTGCCTCCACCAGCACCACCTGCAGGCATGCTGGCCCACACAGCCTCCAGGTCCGCCTTGGCAGTCTTTGGCAAGAGGGGCAACTTCTCAATGGCCTTTTTGTCCTCTGCATCTTCATCCTTGATGACATACAACGTGTGGCCATAGGCACATGCCAAATGTTGAACCCGACAGCCGGTGAGACTTTCAACGAATTGTGGTTTGGCACTGGATTTTGCCGTTCCCAGGCCAAGTTCTCCGTGCGGGCCTTGACCCCATGCAACCGTTTGAGCTGTTTCGGTAGAGCAAATCACAGTTTGAGCTCCACCGTCGCAGTGAGAAACGACATGACGATTGTTGGCAAGGGCTTCCACTCTGAGATAATTTTTTGGTAGTTGCATCAGCAAAGAGGGTAACAGGGAAAAGATCAATAATTGAGTATTGCAAGATCGACCAAAAGAACACAATGCGACTCTCTGCAGTGATGGAAAACTCACAATTTCGGTTTCATTTCGGCTTCCCCGACAGAACGATGTTTGCCAAAGTAGTAGACATGTCCATTGGACGTTTTCAACATGGAACAACTGGCTCCAGCACTAGCCGTCAAGGGACCAGGCGGCAACCACAGGGTGCTTCCCAGCGTGGCAATTTCCCGCGGATAATACTCATCCGCCTGAATTTCATGTCCCAGGACTCCATAATTACCACACCCCCAGCTAAAGACTCGAAGACGTTGATGATCATCGTCATCCTCCTCATCTTTTTCGTAATTGGCTTCGACGGCAATGGTATGATTCTTGCCACAAGCAATGGATTGAATGCGTATATCCTCTTGAATTTTGGTCAGTTTGTCGTGTTTGTAGGACGATCGTGCCGATTCTTCTGCGGGATCTCGTTCCATAAACGTGTCGCGTAGTGTAAAGACATTGCAATTGGCAAACGCCAGTTTGGATGCCGTGACAAAGTACTCTCCCGTTTCTCCATTCCCCAATTGTCCGTACTCACTGGATCCAGTAGTGTAGATTTTTCCTTCTTCACTGAGGGCTACCGAGAACTGTTCTCCACAGGCAATCTGATTATTTGGAACAAACGACGAGACGAACCAACCAATAGAGGGGTAAGGAGTGAATCGCATCGACATAAAAGCGAACCAACCAACCATTCTTATATTTGTTTTGTGCTTACCTGCGCAATTTTGATTTCTCCTGGAAAGACACACGCCTTGAATTGCCCGACACTATCGGTGGTGGATTTGACACCACACTGACCGACTTTGTTGGCTCCCACGGCCATGACGGTTCCCGCATTGGTCAATACGAGCGTGTGTGATTTTCCACAGGCCGCGGCGACAATGGTATAATCCGCCAGGGATTCGATGAGTGTGGGACATGCCACATTGGCGGGTAAGGTAGAAGTGAGTTGTCCCTGATCATTGCGTCCCCATCCGTACGCGTGTCCTTGCGAGCAAATGGCAATGGAATGACAGGCATTGGAACTGGTAAAGACTTTGGTAATCTTGATGCCGGGTAGAATGCGGGTGGGTACGGATATTTGATAGGACGGTGTTTCCTTGGAGTTGATTCCCTTGCGACCAATGACCGTGACATCGAGTGTTCCACTCTGTACCAAGACACCGCCCTTTTCGGCGGCGGCCAATTTGGCCTTTTTGCTGGAAAACTTGGGATGCGCCAATGCGTCGAGATTGTACGCTTTGCGTTTGCCAGACTTTTTCTTGGTACTAGCATCTTTGCGTTGTGGTTGTGGTTGCTTCGGTTCGTCGTCTGATTTAGTAGTGTCATTGTTATTGTCTTTGTCTTTGGAGGAGGATCTTCCGTAGAGATCCACACCCTCCTCCTTCATGAAATCCGCCCAAGCCGAACTGGTGGCGCCTGGTTGGGAATTATTGGAATTCGATGATTTGTGAGGACTAAACACACCTTTTCCATGACAATTCATCATGGCTAACAGCATATCAACAAGAACAACAAAGCAACCATCCATGAGACAGACATCACACTTTACCAATACAACGAGACGAAACACTCAAGTACCAACCTTCCACGGAGGAAGCCGGCAATGGCTTCTCGGCCCCTTCACTCAAGTCCTGGCTGAGCTTTTCAATATCTTGCTTCGTCCCAAAGCCAGGAGCCACCACTGGTTCTTGACCGCGACGACGAGCCGATCGACGAGTCGTCTTCATGATGGGAGGATTGTTCTTGTCCGGCATTGTCGATTGTAGGTCTATGATGGCAACAATGATAGGCTGATGCTTTATGGGAGAGGATCCGAGGGAGCCGATCTTCGATCTTTCGCGGCAAAACTCAGAATCCAGCAGAGCGGTAGACGCATCCACAGGCGAACAAAGCTACGAATGGTTTTGAATGTTTGAGAAACCAAACTCACGAACAATCAATAGCAAGCTTCAGCTTCAGCAAGCTCCAAGTCTCCAGTGGCCATGACATGATACATCGTAGACGCACTGGTCCATCAAGTCTCCCCAATGCTGGCAAGCCTTCTCTGCAGCATCTCTAGCAATTGATTTTCCAAGGTGTCAATGTCCCACCTTCTGCATTGTACTGGGTGCTGGGGTCTGGAAGAGCTTGGGCTCAATCTCAAGACTTGCCATTCCTTTCCAAAGGCATCAGCATCTGTCATAATGGTTCCATTATGGGCAAACCAGCCACCCACTTACCAGTGCCAAGTACTCCCAAAAGACCTTGCTGTCACCATACTCCTCAAAGCTGGCACCCACCACCTTGACACTGACCAGGTTGTTCCACAACCTGATTTACTTGTCCAAGCTCAATATTGAAGACACCCAGCTTGGAGTTGACCTACGGTACTTGTGAGCAACAGTGTACTTATCAAGCTCTCTGAGTGTGTTAATTAAGATCAGCAATGGAGATGCCATCCAACTTGTAGCAACCATACCGTATGCACCAACTCCAACTGTCTCCAATTTGAGCAGCAGCAGACTCAACGTAAGAGAACTAGCTAGTAATGCAAAGCGAATATCATTGCTTTCTCCACAATCTTCGTGCATGAGCCACACAGGAGCAACTTCTGTCATTAGTCCAGTCATCTCAAGTGCACTTCAACTAACTATAACATCACAGATTTCAAAGGTGGCATCAAACAGGATTCTGTTGGTATCTGTGACTAGTGCCCAATGCAGGAATTGGCAAGTTGGGGGGAGAAGGGGAAGTACCAGGTGTAGCTGCCTGGATAGATGACATGCTAGTCAGGCTGGCCAGGACAGATGATGCTGAGAGGGAGCTTGGTGAGCTGGCCCTGAATACCCAATGTCTCCACTGCTCTTCTGGCTTGAATAATCGAACACGTGGTGCTCTCAAGAAACGACGTCAGACGGAAGCCTTTCTTCTTTATTGAGCCATCCTCACAAGGGAGTTCAACATCAAATTCTGTCTCCATCAACTCCACCCATCATCAACTCCGTCCCTCCAACCAAGCATTTGTTCTTTTTGCTCATTCAGCTCTGAACGTCAGAAAAAGGAGATTTGCCCACCACAGCTTCTTCTTAGATAGTTTGTCTTTCAGTACAACAACAGTGAGGATCCAATTTTGGGAAAGACCATCCTTTGAATTTGTATATATATAGTATAGTCGAGTGACGATGAGGATGTTGCAATCGCCTGCGGCAAGAGCGGCCGTGGTGTTGGCCCTGTCCGTGCCAGTGGTTCTGGCATTTTCGGTAGTATCCCCATCCTCGCCATTGGTGGGGGTATCTCCAACCACTACCACACCACAACAACATGTGGTTCTGCCACAACGACAGCGAGAATCTTTCACGGCGCTCTTTGCCAAGAAAAAGGCCAACGCCAAGGCGGCTGCCTTGGAGGCTTTGGAAGCCCTCGAGACCTTGGAAGAAGTTCCTTCCAACGGTGCTGCTGCTGCTGTAGATCCCTTTGCCATTTTGGATGAGCCACTTAGCAAGAAGGAACAAATGGAACTCAAGAAGAAACAGAAAAAGGCTCAAAAGAAACAACAAAACCAAGGAGCCGATGATACTACTGCTGCTCCAGCCAAGAAAATGAGCAAAAAGGAAGAAATGCTCGCCAAAGCTTTGGAAATGGAAGATGCATTGGCTCCTGAAGCCACACCAGAGCCGGCCAAAACGCCCAGGAGCAAAAAGGAACAAATGCTCCTGAAAGCACTGGAAATGGAAGAAATGGATGATGCTAATGCTTCCGACGATAATGTGGAACCAGATAATGACCAACCCAAACTGAGCAAGAAGGAATTAAAAGCACTCAAAAAGAAGGAAGAAAAAATGGCTGCCAAGCAAGCTGCCAAGTTGGAAAAGAAAAAGAAACGACAGGAAGAATTGGAAGCTGCTAACGGTGCTGCTGATGCGGATGTGAATGGGGCGGTGAGTGACCACTTTGTTTCTCTCTTTGGGAAGGCGGCTGGCTTTTTGTGCTGGCTGATTCCATTTATTCTATTTATGCTGACACACACTTTGCTTCCTTTTGTCTCTAACTTTTGAATTTTCATCCACTATCGTTTATGATCATAATAATCTCAAGGCACCCACCAACGGAGAAGCCGCAACAGCACCTCCAGCTCCGACAAAGGAAGTGACATTGGAAGACAAGATTCGAAAGGACCGTCCTCCACCACGCATCCGCGTCATGGAGAGTGCTCAACCTGGCTACACCAGTTTGCGACTGGAAAATGTTGGTATCACCTTCCGCAATCAAGAAGTCTTGAAGGATGTGACGTGGGGTGTGCAAACGGGAGACAGGATAGGGTTGGTCGGAAAGAATGGAGCCGGTAAAACTACCCAACTACGAATCATGGCAGGAGAACTGGAACCCACCACGGGCGATGTCGTCAAGTCCAAGAGTGATCTACGAGTAGCCGTGCTGCGACAAGAGTTTGTGGAAGAATTGGTGGGTACCCGAACTCTGAAGGAGGAACTGCAATCCATCTTTGTCGAAGAAAATGGTATCTTGAAAGAGCTTAAGGATATTGAGACGGAACTGGCCAACATGGGAGAGGATGGTGATCAGAACAGAATGCAGGATATCTTGGATCGTATGCAGGAACTTCAAAACAAGGCCGAAGAAAAGGATGTGTATGCGCTGGAGAGCCGTGTGACCAAAGTGATGGACTTGATGGGATTCGTAGAAGATGAAGCAGAGGACCTCGTTTCTAGTTTTTCGGGAGGTTGGAAAATGCGTATTGGTCTTGGAAAGGTTCTGCTGCAAGATCCAAATATCTTGCTCTTGGGTAAGTGAACTATGTATCGCGGTTTTGAAACACGTAATGGTGGTACTCAGCAGTAAATCAATCATGCAATGATGTTTTTCAACATCAGATGAGCCGACAAATCACTTGGATCTTGAGAGCGTCGAATGGCTGGAAGCCTTCCTCCGTCAACAAAACATCCCAATGGTCATCGTGAGCCACGATCGTGAGTTCCTGGACCAAGTGTGTACCAAAATTGTAGATGCAGAGGGGGGTCTATGCACAGAATATGATGGAAATTATTCAAGATTTTTGCAGCTGAAGAAAGCTAGAATGGATGCCTGGCAGGCCGCGTACAATGCACAAGAAAAGAAGATCAAGGAAGAGAGGCAATGGATCCAAAAGTTCAAGGTGAAGCAACCGCAAGCTGTGAAGCAGCGAATTGCAAAAATAGAAAAGCTCATGAAGAGCGATGATTACGTCAAGAAACCACCATTCGACGGCAAACCTTTCCGGTTTCGATTCCCCGACGCTCCTCGTATCAGTCCTGAGGTCGCCGAAGTGCGCAAGATGTCACATGCATACGTCAACGAGAATAGCCGAAATAGGTTGTTCGAAGACGCCGAATTGACACTTGAAAAGGGAGATCGAATTGCCGTTGTCGGCCCCAATGGTTCTGGTAAGAGTACGTTGCTAAGACTGTTGATCGGCCGTGAAACTCCCGATGATGGTACAGCAAGGATCGTTGGGTCGAATGTACTCCAGAGCTATTTTGAACAGAATCAGGCGGATGTTTTGGATTTGGAGAAGACAGTACTCGAGACTATCCAGGGCGCCAGTTCTGGGCAATCGTACAATGAGCTCCGAGCTATGTTGGGCCAGTTCCTTTTCAAGGGTGACTCTGCGGAAAAGAAAGTCAAGTTCCTCAGCGGTGGAGAGAAGGCAAGGCTCTCCTTGTGCTGCATGTTGCTTGAGCCAGCAAATTTCCTAATCTTGGGTAAGCGCACGAATTTTTCGGTTGTCCGAATTTTGCTGACTGTGCATGTGCTGACACTTGAGTTGCTGCATTTTGTTGTGGACACGTAGACGAACCTACAAATCACTTGGATATCCCAGCAAAGGAGATGTTGGAAGAAGCTTTGCAGCACTTCATGGGATCAGTTATGATCGTATCGCATGATCGGTACTTCATTTCAAAGGTTGCAACAAGTATTGTCGCCATCGAAGACAAAAAGCTTGTGAAGTATTCCGGGGACTATAAGTATTACATGGAACAGAGCAAGAGCATAAAGGAGAAGGTGGAAGCGCGATACGTCACGGGCGTTTCTCGCATCGAATCTGCTCCGGTTATCGACCTGGAAGAAATCAGCAAACCGAAAGGAAAGTTTGGCGGGGCCAAGACTGCTCACATGGTCACAAGGAAGGACAAAGGTATCAAGAATGCCAAGCGTATGCAAAACTAACTACTAGCTAGACTGCTAATACTAGTGAATGCCCTGATAGATTAACTTTAGCTCACCGAGTCATGAAGGCGAAGAAGTGGCCGAAACTTGGGGGGGGATGGTTACGGTTATTACTATTACACCAATATGCCTCTACTACAATATTTCTATGAGGTGCCCGCATAAAGGATAGCACGCCAAAAACAAGACACATGAACAAGACATGTGGGTCTCTATCTAAACCACTCGCCCAGTTAAATCTTTTCTATTTAAGAAACCTAGGCTCGCGAAGACCGAGACTACAATCTCTAACGTGCTCTAACCTCTTTTGACGTCCCGACGTGATTGTAATTAGAAGCAAGCACGGACCGGTCACCACCTCCGATTCTCATCGACTGATCCACATTCTGGCGTGGCTGCAAGCAGCAAGCACGGAGAAGAGATCTTTCGATAGCCGACAATGGCAACAACACTCTTGTGGCAAGCCAATGCCAATGAAGTTGAGCATTCCTACCCATGAAAACCCGACGAGGATGCAGACTCCTCGTTGCACATCTTTGTGTTGGGGCGGCATGGCTGATGGCCAGTTTCTCTTGCAAGAGAGACAGTGTACTATGCGGATAGCATTGCTGTCTGACCAGCATGTCGTCCGGAAATCCGTCCGGAATTCCTCCGCCAATTGTGCGCCGTCCCATAGCTTTCGGGCAGCTCGTGATAGCACACAATGCGGCAGCACGCAATGCGATGATTGCAATGGCACCGACTCGTCCTGTTGCTCAGCACCAAGTCCCTGCCGTCCAGCCAGAGCCCGCCAAGAAAAAAAGGGCATCGTTCAAGAGAACAACACGTAGCAATGCTGAATGGAGAGCAGAGCTCCTTGGTATTTACGCTGGTCGCTTTCCAGATCCGAAAGGAATTTCTCTTCGCAGCTACGTCGGTGTTGACCACTATAAACGAGTTCAGTACGTGTGGAAGCAATTGTCATTGGAGCAATCTCTCTTGGATGGCATCAACCCAGCCAATCCAGTGCTGGTTGCGACAATCAACGAACGATTTCCCGTGATCGATCGAGTCAATGAAAATCAAACAACAAAGCAACGGAATCGAACAAACCCAACAAATGAAATGAGGACGAATGCTGATTGGAGAAAGCTATTGCTCAATATTTATGAGTTTCTCTTGAGTGCCAAAGCAAATCAACGAAGAGAATCCGTCCACTCCTACTGTGCAAAAGTCTTGCAGTCAACAAGCCAGTATCGAAGAATCCAAGACGTTTGGAAAGAGGTTGGATTCTGCAGCTTGTTTGAATTGGGGGCTTGCTTTTCTGACAACCGGTTGAAGCAAGCGCTAGATGCGAAGTTTCCGGAAACAGAAACCACGGAGCAAACTATGGAACTGGACGCACCAGCACGTCGTCGTCGAGATCTCTCTGTTAGTTCCAATTCCTATTTTAACCAAGACGAAGAAGCCGTTTTGTGCGAAAGTGTCGCTGCTTTTGCCAAATTAGGCTACCCAATGAATAAGAACAATTTGAAAGCATATGCCGATGCTTTCATGGCAGCTGAGGGTTTGATGACAGATGCGAATGGAGGCATCAGTATGGACACCATTGAAAGGATTTACAAGGAAGGTCGGATGAAAGCAAAGGCCAATGTTAATCCTATCGACCCAAAGAGAGCCTCTCAGGCTGATCCCCAGGTATTGAATGCTTTCTTTCATCAACTTGATGCCTGGATAAAAATTGCTCATGAAGTGAACCCAGAAGTGTGGCCCGAAGACAGATACGCCAACGTGCCTCCCAGTCGCATCTATAATACGGACGAACAAGGTCCAAACCCAACAGCCCTTCGAAATCCTGTGCTGATCCCTGAGGAAATGGTGACCAATTTGTCGAGGCTGTTTCAGAATACTCGCGAGGGAGATGGAAAGATGCAGTTCCATTACTCGGTGGCCAACATCGTCCGTGCTGATGGCGCCCAGTGTCATCCTCATGAATCCGTTGAAGGTGCTCCGGCACCTTATGTCATTATCTCTGATGGTTCCAGCAGCAACGATTTAGACAACATGGAAAAAGCGGATCGCGATAAAGCACTCGCAAACCAGAGTGAGAGCAACACACGGATTCAACTCAACGCTGCCGTGTTAGAAGGCTGGTTCGATGAATTTGAGGTTGGAAGCAAAGATGACATCGTCAACAAATTTGGCTTTCAGGTCCGAACAACACCAACCGGTAGTATGCTGAAGCGGACGTTTTATGATTTCATTCTTCATTTCACGAAGCAGTTACCACATGACCAGGGGCCAAATGGTATTGGTGTTGTTTTGTTCTTGGATTGGCATTGCTCACGAGAGTGTCCCCAATCCTTGATCCTTGCTTTTCTCAAGTACAACATTCTTATCTTTGTGTTGCCATCCAAAACCAGCATCTGGGCCCAGCCATGTGATAATGGAAAGAACGAATTGACGGCAAAAGATATTGCACATGCTGCCCATAACCTTGGCCTCTTTGTTGGCAGTGCATTGGACTATCGAGATGCGAATCGAGTTTTCCGTGCAGGGCTGGAAGCCAATTGTGTTCAACAGAACGATGAGCTCCGGCGTACCGGAAGTAACGCCGCTGCCACTTCATTTGCAAAGACTGGGCTTTATCCGATGAGTTACGAGAATGAGGGATGGAACAACGCTTTCCAGACTTTCAACAAACTGAATCAGCTTGTTAAACAGAAGAAGCAAGAATCCGGAGAAAAAATTCCGACGATTGTTTGGGTGACAAAGCCAAGGCCAATCGACGAACGAGAGCCCTTGAGCGAAGCAGAGGAAGAGTCAATCCGTTCTTTTCTTTCAAAGGACGACTTCTTGTTAGGCACCGATTCAAGCGACGCTGTATCGGAGACGACTGAGGCAATTGATTTGCCTCTTCTCTTCCTTGCTGTCGCGATCGGCGATCATCTGCTTGGTGTTTATGCCGAAGACGAAAACAGAGATATTGACAATCCACCAACAGCAACCCATGATTATGAAGAAGCCGCTCTGAAGCTTGTTCAATTTGTGGGTGTGACGAAAGATAATAGAGTGGACACAAACTGCACGCTGACTGAAGAAGAAATTGCCCGCGACAAGCTCCGAACAAGGCTTTCTGTGCTCAAGTTTGGTGAAGCCATAACACTCCGAAAGAAAGAAACAAACAGGCATGGAGAGCATCTTACAATCAAACTCATGAAGCAGCATGTGAGCAGATTCCTTGTGCTCGACAATCAACGAAGGCAAAGCCGTAATCTTGTCACAATGACAGCGAGAGACCTCATCGAAAATTACTTTGACAACAGTGACGACGAGACTTATACCCTGACTAAGAAAGACAAGCGAAAGCATCAAAAGAAGGCCAGAGTCGCACGAAAGCGGCTTAACATGTCAATGTGTGATGAAGCAAAGGAGAGAGCTGACATGCAGAGGTTGGAGCGAAATGTGTCTTTGATCACGGAACGCCTTTCGACAAAGAGATCAAGATTTGCCTCGAAACTAGCCACTCTGATGGAAGAAGAGGAGCTTGACATGGAGCAGCTTTACCTGGACTTTGAAGGCGTCGTCTTCGAACCATACGCTGATACAATATCTGTGACAAGAGGTGAGGTGTCGAAAGACATCTCTGTCACCCGTGTCGGCACTGACACCACTGCAGTTGGTCATCTGATGGAAACCGTGCTCACAAAGCTAATGCTTGATCTCAAGTCGAAGGGACCAGATAAGAAGAAGCGAAAGAGAAGACGCGGTGCAGGGCAGGCCACCAACCTTGGGAAGAGCGGATTGAGTGTTGGTATTTTGATCCAAAGGCAAAACAAAATGGAAGAGGTAAAGTCGTTACAAAAGGAAGAGAAGTCGCTTGTTGATGCCGTGAAAAGAGCAAAGTTGCTGCTTGCGCAAGCAAAGGAAATAGTCGACAGCCAAGAACTGAAAGATTCGTTCTGGAAGTGGGACATTGTCAAGGGCAAGAAGAGAGAGATACTGGCACGACTTTGTGGCGTCTACAAGTCTAGCAACAATGCTGCAGAAGTGGCAGCTAGCCTGAAGAGCTTGCAATTGACAAAGGAGAGTGTGCTGGCGAAAATCAAAGCATTGGCTGAATCGATTGCTGCCAAGGAAAGAACTATCGCCCCTGTTGTAGCCGAGAGAAGAGAGCGCGAAGACTTTCTATTGTGTACTGCCGCCCACGCGGAATCCGAGAAAGAAGACGACGACGTTGAAGAAGAGGAGTAAAACAAACCATAGCATACTATAGTTGTAGCATTATAAGAACTACTATCATAAGAGCACACGCTTACTTGACATGACGCTGGTCAGCATGTAGAATTGCCGAAAAGAAAAGTCGAGCACACTCTTCATTGCCACAAACAACCGGCAGCATCAGTTTGATTCGTTTGACGCCATTGTCAGGAGCTAAAGCGAAGCTTATGTCGACTACCAATCCACTGTGGTTGCCATGAGTTGATCTCTTAACAGTGGGTTGCTGTATTTCCCACTTACCCTTTGGCAGATCGATATCACAGGAGCTACCAGCAGGCACAGCGTCACCATTCACTTTGGAGAGCTCAACGCGAAACCTGAATGAGTCGAATCCATCCACAACACGATCGTATCCTTTGATGTCTTGCCATTTGAGCAAGCTAATTGTCCCTTGCAAGTGTGTCGTGCCTTCGTTACTGTCATCCCAGTAACGGAGAGAGGCCCTCCCCGTCGGCTGATCTCCATCGAGCGCTCGCACAACAACCCAAGCCATTGCAGTAAAATGTGGATTGTTGAAGCTGAGGTGACAACCTCCATCGATTCAAACAGACCTCCATCGATTCAAACAGAGCTCTTTCTATTAGATTCAAACTAGCACGCGAAGCTGCTTGTTTGCAAACAAAATCTCAGTTTGCCGCCAAATCGGAGTCACTCATCTCACTCTTCCGCTCCTGTCTCACTTTCTTCGCTCTTGACAGACAGATATCAGCATCATGGATGAAAACCAGATTCTCTTGCTTGGATGGATGAGCCCGGCCATGATTGCAGAGGTAGCAACTGCTCTGAAGAGTATTGGATCGACGATCGAACGCAAAGGTACCGTCTTGACAGTCACTTTTCCCACCTGTCCCGCTGAAGCTGTTGACGCCGGTTCTACCCCCAGGGCCGAAACAAACACACTCCAGACCCTCACGGACGATGAGAAGGAAGACAGCGAGAAGGAGGAGAGCGAGAAGGAAGACAGCGAGAAGGAAGACGACAGCGGCTCTGAAACCGAGTTTAATGAGTCTGACCTTGACGAGTTCGATGATGAGAGCTTCTACAAGCCGGCGGTCAAGGAACGTCCCACCCGCAGCACCCGCAGCACCCCTTGCTACGACGATGATGACTTCCTCGATTCGCAGGACTTCCGCTTTTCCTAGAAGAGCGGCGGAGACGCCGCCATTGCCCCTCTTTTTCCTAAGAAATTGAGTTGTGGTGTGGCCAGCACGAGGTCAAAGTCGGAAAAGTGGCGTGACGAACATTAAAAATATTCAGTCTGAATAAGAATATAATGAGCATTAAAATATACCGTCATGTAGATAAAGATAGTTTCTTGTTCGTGAGATGACCCGTTTTGTTTATTGACCAAGTCGTTTCTGGCGACCAAGAATTAGAGGGAAATCCGTCCTAGACTTAAGGGATGTGTCGATTGCTATTTTGATCTCCTGCTATCCTCATGCAGGCACCCCATAGTCTACGTCTTTTGCTTGGAAGGTTTGTCCGCACAAGATACGTGCATTCTTCGAACCCCAACATCCTTCATTCAAGCCCAGTGTGCAATTCTTTCAATTTGCGCCTTCTCCATATACAAAACTCTCGCTTGACCCCAGGTTCCAACAGACCCGCGTGCTTTTGTTTCTATTTGGAAGGCTTGTTGGCACACAGATACTTCGACCCCAGCATCCCACAGACCACGCCGAGCTCGAGATTCTGGTGTCGTGACATGATTTCTTCCATTGACTTTATGGATTCCTCGACGGCTTCCTCTACAATCAACAGGCGTTCCCAAGCATCGTCCGTCCTTTCCTCTATCTCTATCGACCACTTGCGTGCACCCTTGAACTCTGAGACAACCAGCTTCAGATCGTGGCGAACAGAGATGGAAGCCCTGATGGAAGTAGATATATCTTGCTGATCCTTCATTGCTTCCATTCTATTGAATATTGACTCGGCCTTTGAACAAGTGCATTTGATGAAGTTGATGACTTTCTTGTCGAGTGTGGAAACTGATCTCTCAATCTCTTCACGATCAATCTTGGAAGGAAGAAACTTGCACAGGCGACTGAATTGAGAAACGGACAACAGAAGAAGCCGTGGAGACCGAAGACCTGAGAGTTTGACTAGTGGCAGTGAATCAGGGTTGGAATCTTCCTCCTTGCCATCCGGAAACCTCGTGTTGGCCACAAAGTCCATGGTATCACTAATCTTGATTTCTAGCCGCAGCATTAGTTTCAACCGCCTATTTTCCAGTTCTTCCATTTTCTCGTGTTCTCCGGTACCAGAATCGGGTTTGTTCAGGAACCCTTGAATGAGTACGGCCAGAAACCATGCTTGTCGCTCAAAGCGCTGCAATTCGCTTGGGCTTGTTGGGAAATGTCGCTCCGCTTGGGACAAGACACAAGCCACGAATGCATGAAAGTTGTCGAATGCCTTGTGGTAGGCGGGTGTGACCTTTTCGGCTCCGGGAGCGTTGCCTAATATCTCGCTAACTTCCTTGAGGCGAATAACACCCGTCAGAAAGGATCCGCGGGTTTTCATCAGTGCTTCCGTATTCATCGTTGCGGGATCAAACTGGGGAATCCCTTGACTCACAAACGAGACGAGGGACTGAATTTGTTGTCGGCAAAAGGTTTCACATTCAATCGGTGTCTTTCTCTTGCTGGGGTCGCAATTCCTCTCAAACTCTTCACAGACACACCTCAAATTCTCTGTGCGCACAGCCTTTTCAATCTCTGTGCCCATGGCTTCCAAAAGTTGAGTGAACTCCTTGTGTTTGACATGTTGAATGTTCTTGCCAATGTTCGCGACGCGGTCTCTTGCCACAGTGATATGCCGCAGCGTTGCCTCCATTCCCAGTTGAGCACATTCGCTGGCCTCCGGAAGCACCAAGGCTAACCGTGTTAGTTGGTTCATCCTATACTCGGCCAGATCGTACCCTTCTTCCGAGAGAGAATTGACAATATCTCGGAGAGTGATTTGTAGTTGAAGCTTGAGCTTTCGCAGTGCCGAATCAGACACGGACGGAACAAAGTATTCTTTCGGTTGCAAGACGCAAAATTTTTCCTCCAAAATGCTCAGGAGCAGTTTGTGCGGTCCGTCCTCCAAGGGCAGTGCCACCTGAGCTTCGGGAGTTGTTTTGTTGATGATATCATCGACGAACAATCCAAATATTGCCGCCTCTTCTTCGTCGCCACGAGGACGTTTCTTCATGAGAATGAATTGTCGACAAAGGCAATTTCGATGTCTCTTTTCGTAGTTGGTGAAGACATAGTTAATGGGTTTGAGATGAACGGCTGTGGGTTTTCCAATCAACCGAGTCACCGAAGCTAAGGTTTCGGAAAAGGCACTGAACCGATCCCCCATACCTTCTCGACTCAGCACCAGGACTGGTCGGACACTCCTTGCTCTATGAAGCGCCCGGACGATGCCCAGTCCATTGGCAATTTCCTGTTCAAAGTCTTCTGCATCTCCAAAGCCAGGCGTATCGCAAACGACCAACTCACGCCCATCCAGTGTCACTCGTGCAGTCTGCAGTGCCCTGGTCATCGCATCTCGACCATATGAAGTTTCATATCCGACCACAGAAGGATCTAGAAACTTGTCAGGCTTAAGGTGGGTGAATCCATCTACCTGAACTTCTGTGAAAGAAGTTCCTGCCAAGGAAAGCAAGGTTGTCGTTTTCCCAGAGCCGACACTCCCCAACAATAGCACTACTTCATGGCCTTCCATATTGTCACCCGCGAGTCGATTGTTCTTCATTAGATCAATGAGTTTTTCCAAGTCTATTGGCTGCAGAAACTGAAGTAGATTGGTAATGTTCTCTACCAATACCGACACGTGGCGACGACGATACAGCCCCTCCTTGTGCATGCCTTCTCGAATAGCCTGCTTCATGGTTTCTAGAATCTGGCGAATCGCTTTGTTTTCTTTGGGTATCCGATGCAAGTGTTTGCCAATGGCCCTCCCAAAGAACTTTAACTTTTCCTTGTGCTCATTGGCTTCAAAGTGTCCCTCCCAATTCAGAGTCCTATTGTTGGTGTAGCCATCTACCAAGTTAATGGGGGAATCGCAGTCAATCCCGTCATCATGGTAAGGACTGTACCGCTGCTTCACATCCTTGAGGTATACCAAAAAGTCCTTGAGGATTTGTTCGATGCATTGGTAGGGATAGGTATCGTGTTGGGAGGTTGCCGCTGTCGTCGTTGTATGGGCCGTAGATGCTACAGATGCCCCAGAAGACGGTGGATAGGCACTCATCGTCGGAGGATACTCCTCTCAGGAACTAAAAGAAGCAAGCTGCTAGTATCTTGGTGCGGTCGAGAGAGAGCCCCGGCGGAGACCAGGATAGGTGACTGCCGGTAAAGACAGTTTCGAAAAATCGCAAAAAAATGAGGACGTTTGTGAAAACAGTGGAGGCGCACGGGGCGTCAACCCAAGCTCACAAATTGTATTCTTGCAAAAGAACCTGGAAACTTCCGTTTGCCCGCAAAGCGAGAGATGTGATAATCGCCTGCGTCCAAGGATGCAGACTTACATACAGCACTTTCCAATGCCATGCTATTGCTTCCGAACAATCGATGAAACTGTCCAAGGATGCTGGGGTATCCTACCGTACCTGCTTTGGTAAATTCCATTCTTCTCCCTACAACCATTCCAGCCCGCAAGTGTTGGCTGCCGCCAACGTGAACAGACTGACTATTCCACTTCTTACTTGATAACACGTACTTAGCTAGTTGAGTTAATATCTATAAACGACCAATGAGCGCGCAGGGAAGGGGAACAACAAGAAGAAGCCGCTACACCGTTCGGTACGGGGGCGCACTCGGCCCAAACCGACAGGGTGGCGTCATCCAAAGCAAGGGGCTGCAAGCTTCCTCGCGCTTAGGTGATGACGGTGGGCTCCTCAGTTCCAAGGAATCCCTTGATATCACACAAGTCAAGAGCGACCCTGATGAGTCCGGCAAGAGCCTCTGAGGCAACCTTGTTGATGTCCTTGGGCTCGTACTGCTCAATGTACATCCTGACTGTGGCGCCGGATCCGGCAGTTCCAGAGAGACGGAAGATCACACGAGAACCATCCACCATCAGGAAACGAATACCTTGCTTGGTGGCAACAGAGCCATCCACGGGATCAACGTAGGTGAAGTCATCAGCCTTGGCAATGGTGTATTTGCCAACGGTGCGGCCCGTGTTGGTCTCAGTGTCCGCACGCATCTTGTCCATCATTGATGTGGCCTTAGCTTTGTCCATGCCCTCGAAATCCCATCGGGAATAATAGTTTCGGCCATACTTGGCCCAGTGCTTCTCGACGATGTCTTGAACGGTCACCAATGGCTTGGAGGCATCGGGGTTGGCCGAGGCCAAGATACTGAGCCACGCCAAAACTGCCCAGATTCCATCCTTCTCACGAACGTGATCACTACCAGTTCCGAAGGATTCCTCTCCGCAAATGAACGGTGTGTAGTCGGTTCCACCATAGATGGCCTTGGAGTCCATCAAGTTACCAAAGTACTTCCAGCCGGTGGGAGTCTCGAACAAATCAAAGTTCAAGTCCTTTGCAACAAGATCAACGGCTCCACTGGTTGGCATCGAACGGGCAACACCCTTGAGTCCACCCTGGCTACGGAAAAAGGGGATGACATCGGCATACGCTGCAATCACAGCAAGAGAGTCAGAGGGGCTCACAAAGAACTGACTTCCGAGGATCATGTTGCGATCACCATCACCGTCAGCGGCTGCTCCGAACGATGGGATCTTCTTGCCTCCCACATCGATCTTCGTGCCTTTCTTGTCCAATCCCATGATGGCCACAAGTTCCTTTGCGTAGGTGAGGTTGGGGTCGGCGTGGCCACCGCCAAAATCATCCTTCGGGTCAGCGTTCATGCAAGATTCGGCTGGTTGACCAAGGATATCAATGACGACTTTCTTGGCGTAGGGACCGTTAACGCCGTGCATACAGTCATAAACCATGGTGAAGTCAGGGCGGTCCAACAGAGCCTTGATTGCCGGGAAATCAAAGGTGGTTTTGAGAAGATTAATATGGCTTCCTGTCGACGAAATCACTTCAACGTTGATCTCCATGCTGCCATCGTCACTCTTCAAGGTCGTGAAGCCTGCTGTGGCAATGTCGATTGTGGGGATATCGTTGCAAATCTTGTACGAGCTGATGGTGCAAGTGTTGGCGAAGATTGCATTAGTCACCTTCTCAGGAGCGGGCCCTCCATTCTCGCAATTGTACTTGATTCTGTGTTGCAAAGAGCCGAAACGTAACGTATAGGCACATGAGGAACGAGGGTGTGGACAAGGCGGCCAAACAGAATCGTAATACTTACCCGAAATCCTCCTCTGGGCCACCGGGGTTGTGACTGGCAGTCAAGATAAAGGCTCCGAAGCACTTTTGCCAAACAGGTCCACGTTCACGAATGATGGCGGATACAGCTGGAGTGGAAAGGAGACCGTCCTGTCCAACCCAGAAGCGCTTGACTCCGTTGGCAATACCCATCTTGATGATGGTTTGGATGGCTATGTCATTGAAGTATCGGCCATCGCCGCCGATGAGGAGGGATCCTTCCGAAACGTTCGTTCCGCTTGCCTTGATGGCGTCAAACGCGGCTTGGACAAAATTGTTCAAGTAGTGTTCGCCCATGAATTCCTTCGTCTTCTTACGAAGACCTGAGGTTCCGGGCTTCTGTCCTTCAATAGGCGCAGTCTTAACGACTGTTGTCTTCAAAGGACCAAGTCCAGTAGCTCCAGTGAGGTCCAGATCGCCAGTGACTTCTCCCTCGGGTACGTACTTGGCTTCATCAGAAGTGTTCACGATGGAGACGGCTCCAACGAATTTTGTCTTCTTGCTGATACGAACCAGGCCCTTGACAGTCAACCTCTCGCATTTTACAAGGGAAGGAATTCCACCCTCGGTAGCATCTTCCAATTTGCCGACAAGTTTGTACAACTTGCTATCCATAGAAATAACCGGTGCCTTTCCGCCACATTCAGGGTTCAGGACGGGCTTGTGGTCCACAAGCAGGTAAGCATCACTTCGAAGCAGGAGAAGATCATTGCACTTCTTCACTGGGGCGAAACGGGTTCGTGGGACAACGATGGCGGTGGCACCTTCAAAGCACTCGATAGCAGCACCCATGGCAGTTTCGAGTTGGACTACCTTTTGTGAAGAGTCATCCTTGGGATCCACTGTCTTCTTGTTCATGATCATTGGCAAGGGGATGAAACCACCGTTCTTGTCAATAATTTCCTTGAGCTTGTCCAACTGAATCCAAAGATTGTTTGTGTTGAAAAACTTGTGCTTGGTAATGTCTTGGAAAGCAGCCTCATCTTCATCCAAACACATGGCTGATTCGCGAAGAATCAGTTGCTCGCCACGGAGAGCCAAGTGTCCGCCCTTCTTGTCATTTTCGGTACGTTCACAGCATTCCATCATAAAAGGAGCTCCCGACTTGGCAAAATAGGTCAAGATGTTGAGGTCCAAACTGGCGCCGAGGTTGTCAGAGTTAGACACAAACATATATTTATATCCGCTCTTCAGGAGGCTATCCAGGCAACCAGATCCAACCAACGCGGCGTACAAGTCACCATGACCAGGAGGGCACCATTCATTATCAGGGTTCGAAGCGCAAGTTGCAGGCTGAAACAATAAAATAGAGAAAATAAATCAAGTGAGAAAATGGGAAACCACAGCGTTGCTCATAGAAACAAAAATTGAAAATCCCACCTCGTAAGTGGTAGCATCCAGTTTTGGGACCTTGTTTTGCAACATTTCCAATCCATCCTCACCAGCCAATGAGGGATATTTTTCTTCCAGGAAAGCCATGGTATCAGCACTAGTAGAAAAAGAATTCATAAGCATGACTTTAACCTTCATGCCATAATCCTTTCTCATTTGGATGACTTGCTTTGCAGTCAAGTCCAGGAAAGTATCGTCTCCCTTGACTTTCAGAAGTGACTTGGCCTTGTCAAGTCCCATGCCGGTTCCAAGACCACCGTTCAATTTCAAAACCACGGTGTTTGCCAAGAGGGTGGTGTCGGGCGCATCCTTAAAGTCCGCGGCATTTACCAACTCCGGGACAGGAGCGATGGTAGACTCAGGAATCATACCGGTTTCACCCGAAACAAGGGATTTGAACGTGGATTCAAATGCCGAAATGGCAGAGGGAGCAATGCCCTCTGCCTCCATTTTGCTCTATAGGGTCAATTTTATCAAGGAAGAAAAGTTTTCGTGAGTCGATACTTTCGAAATTGGATCTTTCGTGTAATCCAAGGAACGCAGACGACACCGCGTACTAACCTTGCATTTGTCGAAAGAAGCCATGTTGTTTGTTGTTAATGAAAGAGATTCAATCGATTGTTCACACCTACAGAGGTATTCACAAAAGAGATAATTATGTGGCAAAGGGAGTGACCAAACCAAAGACACAAAAACTGTTTGCATTCTTGTTGTGCTGATTTTGAGTTTGCGTACGTGTTCTTGTTGGGCGCACGGCGGTATCTTTCCAAAGATTCTTTGCCCGTTACAAAAAAGGATTCGCATCGTCATTGCAAGAGTTTCTCGTGGAATTAACGGGTTACAATGGGGATCGGTACTTGGAGTGATATGGCAATCATTTGGGCGGGGCTGATAGGTGGGAATCAGCTGCTCGATCCGCTGGTTGTTTTGCTTACGTTCGGGGTTAGGAAGCCGAGAAGCAACGACGCACGCAAGGTTTGCGTTCGTCAGGCAAGTGATGATGTCTTTGTCCACCACGGACAACACCATGCTTCCGAATGAGAATTGGCTGGCCAGGTCTACAAGCTGCTACTAGCTAGCTCGAGCCAGGATGAGTATTTGCTAGCTAGCTTGAGTAGCGTCGGAGCTGTCAGCTGGAGCTGTTGTAGTCGTGGGTCGTTCTAATGTGGCTGGCGGAGGCCTTCCAGAGTCGAGTCCTCAGGTGCGTTCCTAACCAAACTCCATGTGTGTCCTCCGTGCATAGGCGAAACACATTTATTTTCATCGATTTATTTATTTAGGCGTACGTATCAAGTTTTCATTCCTATCCATGTGACACACATACGCGGTACGCGAAAGAACATGAACCAAACGAATCGATTCGATTCATTAATTCGAATCGATTCGATTCATTAATTCGAATCGAATCATCGAATCGAATCGAATCATCGAATCGAATCAGCCGGGATAACAGCATCGTTCGATCGAAGCTACTAGCTAGCTAGCTAGCTAGCTACCAACAGACCCATCTCGACAACCAAGAAGGCTAACAAGCAACCTGATGAGGGTACCCTACAAGCTACTACCTGTATATCTGTTAGCCTTCTTGGTTGTCAAGATAGGTCTGTTGGTAGCTAGCTTGTAAGACTGTACGGTGCTGTTATCTCTACGTGTTCGTTGGTTCCGCGTTTTCGTTAGAGTTGGGGATTCGTTGGGTTCGGCAGCTCGGCATGCTCGAGCGTTTTGATTGGTCCTACGCGAATTCTTTTTTCTCATTAATTTTGGTACGGCGAATTGAGAATGCAAAATTGCAGATACGCCGTACCAAAATTAATGAGAAAAAAGAGGGAAAGCCAGCCGACTTTAACAGTTAACTTGATTTCGCGTATGCACGGAGGAATAAAGAGGTCAAAATGACTGGTTAGGAACGATCCTCTCAAATCGCACGGCCACCGTAGTTTGCCGGAGGTGCGTGGTTTCGCTGACTTTGCTCGGTTTCGGGCATGTACTTGGGACCAAACTAACTTTATTCCAGACTAATCTACTTCCGCAAGGGTCGGAGAGTCGGAGGCTATTTCAGTATTCTGGGCCTGGTGGTGGCCGCCACGGTATGCAACGAGAGTGTGGTCGCTGCAGGACAAACAAGAAACCATGCCCCTGTGCTCTCCTTGGCACGATATTATCCTGTGGAGGCGTCAACTTTCCTGGTAGCTATGCATAGTACCGGTACGTACCAGTAGTCTTTTTCAGCGGAAACCTAAAGTTAGCCGCAGCCTCGGGCTGTCTCCCCGAAGACGGGTCTTCATAAAAATGATACCGAGCGGATCCATCCTTAACAGGATTGCAGGCTTGCTGGCTAAAACATTGATTGACGAGTGACGTCACTTAGTCGCTCTTGCGAGTCGAGTGAGTCGAGTCGAGTCAAGTTAATCCACTCAGTCGAGTCACGAGTCAAGTCGATTCAGACTTTTAAAAATCGCTCCGCAGCAGAGTGCTCGCTAATAATTGGGTGTTGACAGAAGACAGTTGAGTGACTGACACTCCATCATAGTCAGGTGGTCAGAAGATAGATGCAATGAACAACAAAATGAAACAATCAGTCCGTTGAAAGTCAGAAGAAAAGATGGACTGGAAACAAAAACATAGGCCGCAGTGTCGCACCAGGAGCCGAACTGGACAACAAAAGTGACAATCCGTAGTCAGGCGCCTTACCGTTGGGCCAACAGGACCTATTGAATTAATCCTGCCGGGGATTCGAACCCCGAATCTCCTGATGTGCTACTATCAGATACACTGAAATATAGCTTTATAATTGCAAACTTTTTATCTTGGCCTTTGGCCATAGCAATGCATCAGATCATACCTCATCATGGCTGCCCCAAGATGCCACTTACGGCAACAGCATAACCATTGCATTGTTGCTTGATTCCTCTATTCCAAGGGTCAAGGCAATTGGGTTGTCAGGTTCTGACAAGGATGGGGAAGAGACCCATGCCATTTCACCAGAAATGTGAGTAAAATATGAATGTATTGTCATTGCACCATCTTCCAAGAACCTTTGCCTTGACACCCTAGCTTGTACTGAACCATGGAGCCTTTCTCTCTCAACATCCTCAGGTTTAGGCAGGAGATCGCAGTGAGAAAGGTCTCTTGGTCATTGACCTGTTGGCCCAGCAGTTCACATCCCAGTGAATAGCGGCCTGTATCTTTTTTGTTTCCAGTTCATCTTTTCTTCTGGCTTACAGGGGACTGATTGTTTCATTTCTGGTGGTGGAAGAACGTTTTGTATTCAGGCGAAGCTTCATTCGTAGAACTTTCCTAAACATCTTTAGCTAAATACACAATGAACTATGGCTGACTAACTTATTGCGACAGGCCGAGTGCCTCCTTAAGCAGTCCTTTGTTGGTCTCGACGGTTTCCTCGCTTTCCCCTGTGAAATCGAATGCCTCGTAGACGTTGAAGATTTGGTTACCTGTAGCCTCATCCACCACAAGACCCAATTCACCATCGGTAAAGGCAGCGTATCTCACAAGCTCCTTGATCAAATCAACTGTCATTTCTTCGCGACCCCTCATGAGCTCGCCCTTGATGAGATCGAGGGCACTCTTTGATAAACGGAGCAACAAACCCTCAAACATGGCTTCGCACTCTTCTTCGTCAATGCCGAAACTCTCCTGGATCTCTACAAGCACGTCGGCCTTGTCAACAGTGATGTCACCGCTCTTGAGACCGGGAATGATTTCAGCCTCGAACATTCGACCGAGCCTTTGCTTCGAGATGCCAACGTCCTCGACCAGATCGATGCCCATGCCATTGCACTTTTCTCGGAATGCCTTGATGCCTTCAGGTGTTGGCTCGTCCATGAGCACAGTGATTTCCTCCGACAAGATCTTCTTCTGAGATGCTAGCAGCATTTTCTCGCTTTGCTCAGATGATAGGCCAAGCTTTCCTTGGATATTTGCCAGGAACATCATGTCCTGTTGATCCAAAGACCCCTTAGTCTTCATCGAGTTTGCAACAAAGTTGTCGTAGACAGCATCGCCAATGCTGCCATTGATTTCTTCCATCTTTTCGCTGGTAAGACCCAGGATTCCTCCGAAGGTTGCTCTGGCTTCCTCATATCTAGAAGCTTGAGGACCCTGGCTTGTGAAGGCACCTACAACAAATTGTCTGTAGAGCAACTCGGCTACCTCCTGGTCCAAAGCGTTGGCTCCCAATCCGGTGACGGGGAACGTGGTTTCGAACACAGGCACCTCCTCTGTAGACTCGCCGTCACTTCCTTCGACGGCCTTAGTGCCAACTTCCTTCTTCTCGGCTATGTCGTTCTCTTCATAAAAGTCAACCAAGTTCATAATGTCGCTCATGAGGTTGACATCAGCGCCAAGGCCAAGAGTTCCCTGACGAGACCAGAAAACAAGGTAAGACAACCAAGCTATTCGTATACGACCACTCGATCGCTGATATTGCATCAACAGGACTTACCGTTGCACCCTTGCCAGTTTGGAAGAGATCCTCGCCCATGTCCTTCTTGCGACGATCCGAAAGCTGCTTTTGCGTAAGCTGTGTACGTTCGAACTCGCTCACAATCCATTCAACCATGGGCACCATCTTCTCCTTGACGGCTTCCAGGAAGATCTCTTTGCAGTTTTCTTCGGAAACCCCGAGTCTGTCTCTCAGGTCATTAAGGGGGGGGCGGAACTCTTCGCGAATAACTCCAGTGGAACCCATGGCCTCCAAGACACTCTTGCGATAAGTACTCCCAAAGAACTCCATGTGAGAAGGGTACGTATCCTCGGCAGGGAGATTTACCATGCTACGAAGGGCTTCAAGGGCATCTACGGATTCCTTAGAGGGAATGCCACCAGGATCCTACCGAATGAAATGCCATGATGGATTGTCAGAAACTCACGCCGGCAATTCCTACAGTCGACTTTTGTCAACACAATTTATTGTCAAACTCACCTTTTCGTGGACAAGTGCCACAGCCTTGGCATAAAACGATGCCCCAACCTCTTGCAAGAACTTTTCACTCAGACGGTAGTTTGTCATGACTTCGTCAACTTCCTTTTGCATGTTAGCCACCAGCTCTGGAGTATAATCTTCTACAATCTCAGTTGTTGCTTTGTGCAAGGCCTTTTGCAACAGGGGGCCAAAGACAGCCCGAATCTCGATTTCCGATTGTTCGTCCGAGATTCCAAGGAGCCCTTTGACTTCTGTTACCTTTTCGTGCATTTCATCTGTGAGTCGGCCGTCCTCGCTATTGCGGACCGAGCGATTGAGAAAGATGCGGTAGAGCTTGATGCGCTCATCCGACTGTAAAAACCCATTGGCAGACTGCTTGTCCCAAGGATTGCAAAAGGTTTCATCAAAGTTGTCAAACTCGTTCCATCCAGACTTTGTCAAAACGGAAATAAGAGCCTCCTTGGCTTCAAGAGCCTCGATGAGGTTATCGTAAGTTGCAGCTTCATTGTTGACTTTGGCAAACTTGTTTGTTGCCTCCAGGGGACCTCCGAGTGCTTGCATGACCATGGACGAGATGAGGCTCTTGGTGGCGTCCTCATCCAACAAGAGTTCGTCTCGACGTGCCTCCATAATTTCCCATGCATCCGATGGTGATTTACTTAAGGAAAGAACGTCTTTCATCGCATCCAGGGCAGTGGCTTGATAGAGTGGTGTCGCCTCTACAGTGATTTCGTAATTAACGTCGCTCTCTGTCAAGCTCAGAATTTCACTGAGTTTGCTCAGCTGTTCCAAAGCAAAGAAGAAAAGCAAGAGAGTTAGTTTTGAGTGACCAACTTAACTCTCAAGAATGCCACCAAAACACACTTAGTGGTACTTACCCGTTCCATGGTTCCATCTGCAAACTTGACAGTCGACAAGTCTCCAGCAGCCGCCGAATCTTCCTTTTCGTCGTCCTCATCATCGGACGAAGCCGCCGTCTTGCCCAAAAGCGCTCGGACTTCTTCATTGAGACAAGCCACGTGCAAATCCTTGGCGGTAGCATCGGACACTCCCAAGGTCTTTCGTGCCCGTTCCAACATGCCGGCAGAGACTTGATCGGTATCCAACTTTTCTCGCGTGGATTGCAGAGCCCGATGATAGAATGGCTCGGCAGCGTCGGCTACTCGGTCCAATGCCGTGGCGTAATCCAGTTTCAAGGCTTTGGCGACTCTAGTCATTTCAAAGACGAATGCTTCTTGTGTTTCTCCTCCCTGTCGCAGCGTGCGTTCGGTCAAGAACAAGAACTTGTCAATGGACATACGATCGGTGTTTTCGGGGTCGTCCAATTCGTCTTCGGGTGTGGTCTGTGTGATGGTTCGGTATAGTTCTTGTGCGGCACTGGCATGGGCTTCTCCGACTTGAAGGTTATCGAGACTGAGGGCCACCTTGATGGCTTCCAACTCTTTGAGTTCACTTGTTTTGGCCTGGAATTGGTACTTGACCATGCCCAAAATGAACTGTGTGTAAACATCGGTACAGAGAATATCAAAATCTTCATCTAGAATGCCATATTCCAGTTGTACTTGTTGCACTTTGGTGGCGGTTTCCTTTGGATTTTTGAGGTATCCTCCTTCGGCGGCTTCGAGTAGTGCTTCGGCAATGGCAGGTTTGGAACAACTATCGACGAGTGCGGCATCCAATCGACTCTTTCCCACGGCACCGGCAATTCCCGACGCCACGGCTCCCACGGCATGAGCGGCAATGCGTCGACTGGGTACGAGTCCAAATCCCAAGGCCGCCGAGACGGGGATGGTGGCCAATCCTGCAATTTTCCAAAAACTGGGTGATTTTCGAAAGAGACTGGCTGCTTTGGATTGTTCCTCGTTGGTTGCCAATTCCTGTAGTTCTTCGTACCCCCCGGATGTTTCGGAAAACATGGTCAGGGTGGCACCCATGGTAGTTTTTCTCGGCTTTTGTGGGACCATGCTGTATTGGGGGATAAAGGCCGATGGAGCGGGACGAATGGAAAAGGCTTCCGCATTCTGGTGGCTAGTGGCCAGTAGCAGTGCCAGGGCGGCGTAGTGAAATCTCATCTTATATCTGTTTTGTGTTTTTTGGATGGGGGTATCTATCTGCTGGGATCAGGATAGGGTATCGGGTAGCAGCCAAAACACTCTGGTGAGAAACCGTCCAATGGGAAAAGTATCAAACAGACCATACCATACAAAAACCATCTTTTACTCACCTGACGTTCCTAAAGAATCTTTGATGTATTCTTGGGTATGATGATGTATGACAAGGAAAGCTCCAACCCACAAAAAGTTGCCTGACGAGGCGAAAAAGTGAGGCTCTGGGTGACTACAGTAGAGTCCAGCTTGCTGCTAGCTGGAGCTATCTTCTCTCTTGGGATACAGAGTTGATTTCTCTCTCTCTCTGTCGATCGATGATGGCTGTTCAACTTGCTTGCTCTTGCTTCCTCACAAATTTGAGTTCTTGAGTGCCTTCAACTTGGCTATGTCGTTCGTTGCCTCCAAGGCTCCACGCGTCCTGTGGTTTAGGTCGGTGGCGTCAGTGTCAGTCACGAATAATGAGAATTCTTGACTCAAACTGTCTGACGTCAGTTGCTTTCTCGTGATTGAATGAAAAACAGTCACGCCCTGCCACCACGCATCGCACAACGTTGACTTTTTGTTCTTTTCTTTCTTTCCTTCTTTGGAGGAAGCCAAGGACTTGTACTAGAAGCTCCAGTGGTTGTGATGGCAGTCATCTCGACTCATCTCTACTGGTATTTCATCATCTGCCTTTATCCCGTTCTCTGCTAATTGTGTGCTTTTTAACACAAGATGGGGCCTCTTATTATGCGATTGGCGGTCCTATTGGCATCCTGCTCGAGTGTGCTGGGCTTTGGTGCTCCCGCCGCATTTGTCCGCCAGCAGTCTAGCAGTACATGTACGTCCACAAGGACCTACATGTCGACACAGGCATCGGCGGCCGCCTCCAAGAACACTCTCGAGTACAACGCCAATAGAATCCGAAACTTTTCCATTATTGCTCACATTGATCATGTACGTAAAGAAAGAATGCTACCCACAGCCACAAGTCATGCCTTTTGAACTTGTAGTACTCAATTTTTTTCTTCCTTTTCCTGTTGTATATTTATTAGGGCAAGAGCACACTAGCGGATCGACTGTTAGAATCCACAAATACTGTAGCTTCGCGGGATATGGAAGCCCAGCTCCTCGATAACATGGACATTGAGCGAGAACGAGGAATCACCATCAAGTTGCAGGCAGCACGGGTACTCTACAAGTCCAAAAAGGATGGAGAAGTTTACATTCTCAATCTCATTGATACACCGGGTATGTTTTGCACTATAAGTGCTCTATACAGAAATGGTTTCTACTACTGCAAAAAATGGCAGCTCATTCTGTCACTGTTTCATTCATTCTTGCTTGCTTGCTTGCATTGTCCAGGCCATGTGGATTTCACCTATGAAGTCTCTAGAAGTTTAGCTGCTTGCGAGGGTGCGCTGCTAGTGGTGGATGCCTCTCAAGGAATTGAAGCTCAGGTAAGGCATACTCACTCTCAAACTTTCTAGTTCTATCTAGCTAGGGGTATTCTGACCGCATTGTTTATACTCTTTTGCTTCGCTGCTACTTTAGACGTTGGCCAACGTGTACTTGGCATTGGAAAATGATCTGGAGATTATACCCGTACTCAACAAGATTGACCTACCCGCTGCAGATCCGGACCGAGTCAAGACCGAAATTGAAGAAACCATTGGCTTGGATACCAGCAACATTGTATTGGCTTCGGCCAAATCCGGCATTGGCATTGAGGATATCCTAGAATCTATCGTTGAATATGTGCCACCACCAGAGGATACCTCGAAAAAACCATTTCGGGCACTCATCTTTGATTCCTACTTTGATTCCTACCGAGGAGTCATTGTCTTCTTTCGGGTCGTGGACGGAGAGGTAAAAAAAGGCGACAAAATTCGATTCATGGCATCGGCGGCACAACATGATGTCACCGAAGTCGGGGTTATGCAACCACAACAGGTACCCGTGCAATCCTTGAAAGCGGGAGAAGTCGGATACGTGGTGGGAAGTATCAAAGATGTGCTCGATGCACGAGTCGGAGACACAATCTGCTTGGCATCGCAGTACAAAGAAGCCCTGGCGGCTGGAAAGGATCCGCCCATTCAAGCTCTCCCGGGGTATGCCGATAGTATTCCCATGGTCTACTGTGGGTTGTTCCCCGTAGACGCGGATCAATACGAGCAACTCCGTGATGCTCTTGGAAAATTACGTCTCAACGATGCCGCCCTCTCGTACGAACCAGAGTCGTCGGGTGCCATGGGATTTGGTTTCCGATGTGGCTTCCTGGGGCTGTTGCACATGGAGATTATTCAGGAGAGATTGTCCAGGGAATACGACCTGGATTTGATTCTGACGGCACCCAGTGTGGTATACAAAGTTATCAATGGCAATACGGGTGAGGAACTCATTGTCGACTCCCCGGCCAAAATGCCGGATCTGATGCGGGAAGACGAAGCATTGGAACCGTTTGTGCGAATGGAAATCCTGACACCGAGCGAATACAATGGCGCCATTATCGAGCTCGGACAAGAGCGCCGAGGAGTGTTGAAAGATATCAAGTTTCTCACCCCCACAAGATCGACCATTGTCTACGAGCTGCCATTGGCAGAAGTCATCACGGACTTTTTTGATCAATTAAAGTCACGGACAAAGGGGTATGCTTCCATGGAATATTCCATCATTGACTACCGTGCTAGTGACCTAGTGAGACTCGACGTCAAAATCAACTACGAGACTGCTCCTCCGTTGGCAACCATCTTGCATCGAGACAAAGCCCAAAGCGTTGGTCGAAGGCTGGTCAAGTCGCTCAAGGACAAGATTCCACGACAAATGTTCAAGGTGCCAATCCAGGCTTGTATTGGTAAGTTTGACCCTCAATCGGCAAGTTTTGCGGTGCCTCTCTCGTTGCCTTGTTGACTGACATGACTTGGAATGAACTCTCATCCCGGTAATAGGCGTCAAAGTAATTGCATCCCAGTCGATCAGTCCCATGAGGAAAGATGTGCTGGCCAAGTGCTATGGTGGAGATCTTTCCAGAAAAAAGAAGCTGCTACAGAAGCAAGCCAAGGGAAAGAAGAGGATGAAGGCAATAGGAAAGGTTAACGTGCCACAAGAAGCATTCATGGCCGTGATTAAGCTCGATAGCGAGTAAGCTAGCACCATTTCATACCATACCGGATGCACTACTTGGTTTTGAAATCAGTAGCTCCTCCTACTGACCCCAGCCCAATAAGTGAGTGATGGTGCATGCACTGGAGACCCTCACTTCAAGACTTGGGCTGGCAATTGGTTTGATTTTTATGCAGAGTGTGACCTGGTCCTTGTATTTGGCCATCTAACTGCAGTGGTGATCCACATTTGCACCAAAGCCCCTTACCAAAACTCTTACATGGTTTTGCTGCAATTCAAAGTGGAGAAAGTGTGTTGGAAATTGCGAATATGGTGGTAGCTACATGTTGGATGGTATGCTCAATGCAGAGCTGGACAAAATGGAGGAGAAGTACACCATCACCCACAAGAAGGTCAATCCCAAGCATGTCATTTTCTCCATTGAGCTTGGAGAGGTAAGGCAAATTGTTGTCCAATCCTTCGAGGACCTGTTCATTGTCGAGATTTGGGTTGCTAGCTTTGAAGAATATGGTGCAGCAGAGTTTGGAAGGTGCAAGTGGTTTGCCCCAATGGAACTGAGTTGTTGGATGCCAATGCCTTTGAAATTGAATGGCAGCCAACTTCTTGAGAATAAGCACAGAGAAAGAGACATTTCCCCAGCACCCAGTGCAATGCACCATGCCTACTAGAAGAGCTTCTAAAAATTGGAAGATCCTTACATCCTGGAGCTCGTTTTTGAGGTGGCATCAACTCCCAGACATTCAGATTTGTGACTTCCCATCAGGGAAAACTAACCACATTTCTGCCATGATGGATTAGCTAGGATGAGACACATCATCAATGGTGCACAACAGCGAGTTCCTTCTTGGATTCACTGGCGGAAGACTCAGTCTTGTTGGAGTGCGTCTCGCTGTCGAAGTTGTTCGTCTTAGCATGCTTGACACATAGCATCATGTTTGTTCACTTGCAGCAGAAGTTGGTTCCCTTCTTCTCAATTGACAATGATTCTGTTCTGCTACCAGGTAGCTAGGAAGGAGCAAAGGAGGAGGAACAGCTTGACCACAAATGGTGAAACGGTCTGGCTTCAACGGTTCAATTCAAATCTACTGAATCCAGGGAACTGGCTACAGTAGTAAAGGAAAGGGGTTTAGTAACAATGAACAGAAACTAGCTTAGCCAGGCCTGGTTGCATCCTCTGCCAGGTCAACTGTCAAATGATCCTGAGAATCTATCCTAAATACAAAATCACTAGGAGAAAACTACCCATCAATACCCATGCAATACGAATGTCGACATAGTCATCATGACTGACACCAGTGTGAGCTCCGTCACCACCGTGGCAGCAAAAGTAGAGTCCACAAGGCACTTGACGTGCTTCTACGATTTCGTGTAGGACTTGTTGGTACAACTTGGGAGGGACTGTCAAGGCATATGTCGGGTCCACTTCTGGATTGTAATAGGCTTCCTCACCGTAATACAACTGTCCCCTCTGGCCTTCCTCCAAACACGGATCAATTATCAATTGCATCCGTTCAGCAAGTTCGGTGGGAGCCATGGCAAACTGATCCGCGAGAGACTCGTGACGCAACAGCACGGGTGGTTTCACCCTCAACATGATATTCGCAGGGTTCACTTTGCGCATGGATCGTCTCAACACTCCTCCAAGATCATACCCACTACTGCTCCTCCGATAGATGCCGCTGCTTTCGTCGTCATCTTTGCTGCTGCTGCCAAAGGATCCATAGAATTCCCGATCACCAGCAGACATACCAGTGGACTCGGTGGAGTCCAAGAGCTGGAGGGAGGGTGTTAGTTAGAGAGAAGAGAGATGCGGACATGGGCGAACGACTGCTGCGTAAGTACCTTTTCTTTCCCTTCCTCCATCTCCATGGTGGTCTCTCGCTAATCAGGTTGGGTGTTTCTTTTATCGTCTCTGTTTTTTTGTATCCATCTTCAGAAGCTCTGATTGTCTTGCAATTGCCGCCGATAATGACATGAGAAAGTGGGTATTCCATGTACCCACAGTGTGTTGAAGTCGCAACGACCTCTTTCCTTTGAGTGAGAACAAGCACCTCGCTGATGCCGTGCTGGGTGGAGAAGCACGTTGAGATTTAGAATCAATCTGAAAGCATTAGAAACCTCTTGACGCACGATTGAAAGATACATTAAAGCACGTATGAAAGATCCAACTCCAGATCGGAAATTTCTTGGGAGAAAAACAGAAGTTCTTACAGGAACTTGGCAGTAATAACATGAATGAACATCTATCTCAGCATCAACACTCGTTTCGCAACAACACACTGCTGCCGAGATCACTCACTCATTCTAGATTCGGCTTTCGCTTGGAAGAGACACACCACACCGGTAGTACTGGGGTTCTATCACCATGAGCTCCCATGCAAAAAATTCCTTCCGTCGAAGGACCAGTAGCGTCCGCGAGGATTGCCTGGGAAGCAGCCATTCTCATCACCATCACCACGAGAAGAATGTTGATAGCATGACATTTGTGGATGACGAATCGGACGTCTGGAGGGCTCATTACGCATTAGATCATTATCAGCACCGAGGCAATCTATTTTGGAATGCCGGCAAGCACAAAACTTTGATTCAATACCTCCTCATTGGGGCCGTGGGCGTGGTGCAAGCGATCGTGGCCTATGGTACCAACCTAACCAGTGCTCATATTATCGAATACAAGTACACGCAAGTCTACGGGAGGCTGGCAGAGTCATCTGGCTTCGTGGACGTGTTTTTGGCGTATCTGTTCTTCACCTTCTACCAGCTCGCATTTGCCATGGCAGCTTCTCTCTTTGTCTGGATTGAACCTGTGAGCGCTGGATCTGGAATTCCAGAGGTCAAAATCTTTTTGGTAAGCCGAGTACAGCTCCTATTCCCTGATTCACCTTTAGTGTTGAAAGGTCCTCAATTCCATTTTTTCTCTGTATCTGTGTCAGAACGGAATTGACCTGCCTCGAGTGGTCGATCCAAAGACCTTAGTCTGCAAGGTTCTTGGTGTAATCTGTAGTGTTTCCGCAGGATTGCCAGTGGGAAAAGAAGGACCCATGGTACACAGTGGCGCTGTGGTGGCCAACACCATTTCCAAACATGAAACCCGAGATGACAAGCAAGTGAGAGATTTCGTCACCTGTGGTGCGGCCGCTGGAGTGTGCACCGCCTTTTCTTCTCCCATTGGTGGGATTCTTTTCGCTCTCGAAGAAGGTGCCAGTTACTGGGCTCCCTCCCTCACGTGGAAGGCCTTTTCCTGCAGCATGGTCGCCTTGGCTACTCTGTATTGTCTTAACACAGTCGGATCGGCCTTTGGTAAAGTTGGTTTCAACAGACTCTTCTCGTTTGGCAACTTTGTCTTCGAAGAGGAATCCAGCTTTGCCGTGTTTGAACTGGCTCTCTTTGTCGCCATTGGTGCCATGGGAGGCATTATCGGAGCTGTTTTCAATGATACCAATGAACGCATAACCAAGTGGAGGCTAAAAAATGTCAACCATTCCAAGAAGCGTAGAGTACTGGAAGTGCTCGTTGTATCGGTCTTGGTATCAACAGTATCTTTCTTGCTACCCTTACTGTGGAGAGAATGCAAAGCATTGCCGTCTACTGAGGGAATGGACACGAGTCAGCTGGAGCTGCGTGGTTCACTGGTTGCCTTCACATGTGCTGATGACGAGTATAACGAAGTGGCGTCTCTCATCCTCACGGACCCTGGCGACGCCATTCGCCAGCTCTTCCACCTACACAAACATGTCTTTGGATCGGGAGCACTCATGCTGTTCTTTCTATCCTACATCTCGTTGGCGGTTGTGACCTACGGGATCGGGGTTCCTAGCGGATTATTTGTTCCTTCGCTTCTGAGTGGAGCCGCCTTTGGTAGGCTCTTTGGAAACATGGCCAGTGCTTACTTCCCTCAGCTGGCTTTCAGCAACACATATTCTTTGATTGGTGCTGCCGCTGTACTCGGCGGGATGGCGAGAATGACTATTAGTCTGACTGTCATCCTATTGGAGTGCATTGGAAACGGCCAGTATGTATTGCCTCTGATGCTTACTCTCATGACGGCGAAGACGGTTGGGTCCTTCTGGAATTCCGATCTCTATCATATCCATATTCACTTCAAAAAGGGCGTCAACTTCTTGCAAGCCGAGCTGGAGTCTGTGAGTCGCCACCACAAGCTCAATGCAGGACACATTATGAGCGATGATGTCATCTTTGTGCGACCAGTGGAGAAGGTGTCCGTTGTTTATGACATTCTAAAATCCAGCAACCACAGCAATTTCCCAGTGGTAGACGATGGTCTACTTTATGGAACGATTGGGCGCAATGCGTTGTGTACTTTGCTGAAGCAACGCGCTTATGGGAAGCCAATTGTGGTGGACGAATACTCAGTAACAGAGCATCGCGATCATCGTAACCACGACTCTGTCAGGGTTCATAACTATGTTACGGTGGAGGGAGGAGGCGGAGAGGATGACGAAGGAGAGAAATTCTTACCCTTGACGCAGTGGGAAGTCATTGAGCAATCCTATCCCAAGTACCCAAGCATTGGCGATGTTCGCATCTCATACGCAGACAAAGATTGCATGCTGGATCTCCGACCTTTTACCAACTGTGCTCCTATCTCGGTCCGCGAATCGGCTTCAGTGACTCGAACCTATGAAATCTTTCGTAGCCTCGGATGTCGCTTCCTACCTGTGACGAACCTTCACAACCAGATTGTTGGAACCATCACCCGAAAGGACCTGACACCGGATGCACTGGCAGAAAAGATGATTGGAAAAGGCGCTAGGAAGGCGGCCCATTGAGAATGGCAAAGAAGAGAGTTAGCGTATTGTACTGTACCGGTACCTCGTAGTAATTGGTCTCACTATTCATTTAATTAATGCGCAGGATCTCTTGTAGTTAGACTTGAAGCAGCAGTGCGTCTATGATAATGGTGACGAGTTTGCCCCCGACGGTCTTGGCAACACAAATGGCAGCTCCGTGATTAAAATCACGCCTCAGCCTGTTGGAGCTAACTAGAGCACTCCTTTGGCCAGAAGGCGTCGGTGGGCTGCTCCGTGCAGCGAACGCCACGAACCTCCACTACTAGACAGGTTGCTTTCGCTTCTCCAACTCTTTCTTATTCCTTATAAGTGATAGTAAGCATATCGGATTGTGCAGAGTGTTGCATAACCACTAGCTAGCGACGATAACAAGCATGGATCGATTGGGATCGATAACAGCTCGTTTGTTTCGCATTTCGTAGAATAGTACCGTACCGCGAACCCCGTTCAAGATAATACTAAAAAGGTCCCCAATCATACCGCCAAATGACTCTTCTTCCTCCAAACTATAGTTCTTCCTTTCCTTTCCATACACAATAGCCTCTACAAGCTCAATGGATCGTCGTCTGCCAACAGATTCCCAACCGCATCGACACTCAAATCCTGAAAGATCGATAGCCCACGATGATGACCTGGTTTCTGCGCGGGTCTGGAGGATGTTGTGGTCGCATGTTCCGTGCCACTATTGTTGCTTCCAATGACGACACACGTCATGGTATTATCATTGGGATCACCACCAAACTTGTCGTGATGTTTCTTGCACATACCACTGAGAATGGCCTGTTTCTTGCAATTTTCCACCGAGCACAATTTTTTCTTGGCCCCATGGGCAATGCAGCGACCACCTTGTACGGCCACCTTTCCACATCCTTCGGCTTCGCACCGTTTTCGTGCTGGTCCATGAGTACTGCACAACCCCGCTTTCTTGACATTTTTGGTACATCCGGCATGTTTGCACGTCTTGCGTTTGGCGCCATGGGAGATACACAAGCCACCTTGAACGACTCGATTGGGACATCCCGCCATGGTACACTTGCGACGCACACGCTTGCTGGCTCCACCGGCTGCCAATTTGCTGGGTTCGTCCATTTCATCCACCGTGCCCATTAGCGGTGGTTGTGATGTTGTCGGTGGTGGTGGCCCCAAAGGCGGTGGGGGCGGAGGTGGCATGGCCGATGAAACCGGTGGTGGTGGATAGTGAGGCGGCTGTACCGGATAGGCTGACCTTGGCGCCGGTGGTGGTGCATAAGGAGCCGGAGCGGGTGCTCCATAACTGGGCGCAGACGCCTGTACATTGTGCAAAAAGGTCAAATCAGATCCTTCCAGTACATCCAATCCCTGCAAAAATGAAATGGTGCTTGACGTGGCTCGATGATGTGCCTTTAATGGATGGGGCTCATCTCCCTCTGGCGGTGCAAACATGGAAGCACTAATGAGTGCTCCCATACTGGAAAACGATGACAATTTTCGATGATGGGCACTCATGGACGACGGTTTGGATGATGGCTCGGGAGCAGCGGTAGTAGTTGACGTCGACGTCGGTGCGGGTGGTTCTGCTGCTGCTGCTGTCGTATTACTGTCACGCTCATTGGTTTCCGGAGTCCATGGTGTCGCATTTGCAGTTGTCGCTTCGGTGGGTTTGTCCTTGTTGCCAAATAATTTCTCGTCGGATTCAATTTTTTCATCCCCATAGGTTCCAGCCGTCGGGGACGATTGTCGCGGTTCTTCCACTACAGGCGGTGGATATAGCGTCTTGTATGGTTCAGGAGGAGGTGCCCGATGGGAGTATTGGACTGGATAGGATCTGGGCGGTGGTGGCGGCGGGGGAGGATGCACATGTCCCGGTGGTGGTGGTGGTGCATGTGAATAATAAGAGGGAGGTGGTGGGTAATGAGGATGATGGTGGTGATGATGATGGGGTGGTGGTGGCGGCGGTGGATGGTGAGGATGATGGTGATGATAGGAAAGAGTGGGTGGCGGTGGTGGAGGATGATGAGGGTGACCTGGCGGAGGAGGCATGTATCCGTGATGATGGGGATGAGGTGTTGTATGAGGATGGGGGAAACTTCTGGCCGGTGGTGGCTTCATGGGTCCAGCAGTAACAACGGGTGCCGGTGGTGCCGTGGCAGGATGTGGGTGTCGCGTGTTGGTCGGTGGTGGAATGGCCGAGTAGTCATAAAAGTCTAGACTGGAGAGTCGTTGATGTTTTGCCGTCGCACTCGTGTTGGCTGGGGCATTGTGACTACCGTCCTCCCAAATCGGTGTTGTCCTGGCTCCTGCCGCATCCGCCAACTCGTCATTGGTGACATCGACAGCCGCCGATAGAATATCCAGTCCAGCCGAGTCTTCTCGTCGATGTCGATTGCGCGGTCGTCCTAGAAATCGATCGACCGCCGCCGCATTTCCAATAGAATTGATTCTCCGATGTGCCAGTGGTGGATTGGAGACATCTCCCGAAAACATGCGTCGATGCTTTTGTCCGACGGCAGGACTACTTTCCTTCTTGTCAAACGTCACTTCATCGTCGTCATCCGTCAACTTGGTAGCGTCAAAAAAATGAGCCGACAGATTGCGTGAGTGATGACGATTGTGTCGTTTGTTGGCAGACGCTCGAATGCCAGGAGACTGCCATGTCCCGAGTTTTTCCTTGTTGCTTTCGGCACTGTCAGTCGGTGTTGGAGCATGATGATGATGGTGGTGAATGACGACATCTCCATCGGCCGTAGACTCGTATTCAAACGTAGTCGTAGAAGAAGTAGCAGTAGGATCTTCTCGTATCCGATCGTCCGCCACATCTCGCGCGTCCGAAGGCATGATGTCGTTGTTGTTTTGTGGGAGCATTCGTCGTTGTCGATGATGGAAATGGCTAGATCCAGCGTGATGTCTTTCTTCTTCGCTCCTAACAGCAGTAGCCGAGTAGTAGTAAGAACCGTTTTCCACGGGCGCCAACACTACACGCTGCCGTGAAGAAACAATATTGTGATGATTGGTAGAAGAATGTGATGATTGTGATTGTGATGGACCACCATTCAACCAACAAGCAACCCAAGAGGAGGTGCTCGTCACACCGCCGCCTCTCCGAGAGCTTTGATTTTGAGGAGAAAACCTAGAAGAACTGTAGTTCATCAGCGAAACGTTCCCAGCGAAAGAATAAAGACAGAGTAGAGGGAGGTGAGTATCCACGGTAGAGGGAAGAGAAAGTTATGCACCCGCAAAAAGACAAAAAGAAATGAATGATCGAGTGGGAGCCCTTCTCCAAGCTCATTCTTGGACGGATTTTGAAACTTTGTGGCCAAAGAGACAAGAGACAGTGGGACACCCTGTGTACATTCGGTGGAGGTCATTCGGGGAACCTCCTAAATCTTCAACTCAATACTCTAATTCTTTATGTTCCCCTCCCGCCAAAAACGATCGTCGTCAACCAACACGGTGTCATCACAGTGCTTTCTTCATCGACCAGACAATGCAACTACAGTACGATAACAAAACTAACAACCAAAACAACCCACCATGGTGGTCAAAGACCCTACGTTCACCATCACAACAACAACATTTCCAACAACAACATCAAATCTTTTCGTACCTCCACAGAACGCTAATCGATCGATCCACACACAACGGCCTTTTCGTCCACGGTGACAAAAAAGAGGGGAGGTTTGCTCAAAAATAAATGAAACTCCGACCACTTCTTCTTCCAGGAGAGCCTCCTTACTTTTCTCCAAAGTGCGTGGTTCGCGCACATGGCGCGCGCATTGAGAAGTCTACTTTGCTTGGCTGTTTTTATTTTACGGAAGGGTCGTTGTTCGGATGTTTCACTGGTGTCGGCACCGATACCAGTCGGACACAAAGGCCTCAATCTCTTTGCTTGTCACTTTAGTACATCGTACCGTTGCCACCTTCCGGGGCACCTTCTAGACCTCTGCTAGCTAGTACAGTACCGGTACGGAATGCTATGGCTGGCTGGAAACAGTGCGGCGGATTGGATCCAGTACTACTAGTAGCTCTAGCTCTAGCTAGAAGCTCACAAGATCCATCTAGCTAGTAGCCATCTAACGACACCTTGTTCCACACCTAGCTATTAATAGTGTTGTAGGCACCTGGTCTGCTCTATCTACCGGTACGCCTGCAATGATTGTTCAGGCCTACATTATCTGGGCCTCACAACATGATAATGTTGCTATACACTGCTAGTCGACTCGACTCATTCCCAACAACCTACCAGAGGCTCTTCCGCAGGAGGTGTCCCAATGATTCGTCCCTTGCAAATTTTAATATGCCTTGTCTCGTGGCTGAAGAGTAAGAACACCAGGCGTCTCTTCCACGCAACATTTTGTATCCTTTCAGAATAAGGTAGAAAAGCTCCTCCTGTCATTCTTCATCTTGTTTTTTGTTTGTCCTGAAGAGGTCTGGGAGTTGATGCCACTGTCAAAATCCGACGTCACAAGCGCCTGGTACAGCTGTAAGGTGGGGTAGGTGCCACGTGACAACGGTGAAAACACCTCTGAGATGACAAATAGGACCAAAAAAGGGCATGACCCCTTCAACCTTCAACAGCTTACTATTAGTTAGTAGTCTGAGATTATGCTTCTACTCTGAGACTCCAGTTTGCCGTGCCATCATCTGCAGCTTCTTCTCGTTTTCCTGCAGACCTGCCTCGTATTTAGTCATCAGTTTCTCTTCACCATCAAGAAGCTTGGTGGCATGGTCCTGCATGGACTCTTCAAGCTGAATGTTGCACACGAATCTTCCATCATCAATATTCCCACGAAACGTCTGCATATTGGAATCCAAGCCACCATACGATTTCTCCAAATTGCCCAACTGAAGCTGGAGCCGCTTCAGCTGTTGAATGTAGTCATATTCTGCTTGAGTCAATGATGGCAAGAGATCCTGGCTAGCCTGTAGTATGGCATCACTTCGTTTGGCCAATTCTTGGGAATTCTCAAGCGCTGTCTGGGCTTTTACCTGGATTCCTTTCATTCGATCTTGCATCACTTTCAGAGTCTTCTTGTGAGCAGCAAGCTCCTTCATCTGGTTTATGAGCATCACCTTCAAAGCCTGCTTTCGAGCTCTAATGGTCTGCTTCAACTCCAACATGGGTAGCACCACTTCATTGTCGCACCGTTCTTTCACCGCAATAGCAACAGCAAGCATTTCGGGCGTCATTTGGTTCCCAGTTGTTCGTGTTTGACTCCCAACGATCTTTCCCATGTTGGAGAGACCAGCAGCTATCTTTTTCAGCATTGGGTCCAAAACTTGGTGGAGAGGTTGACCATTGTCCGGGTCGTTTGTTGTGTCAGGTGGTGCATTTTCTGTGTCCGACAAAGGATTCACCAAATGCTCCATTTCATGCAGGTAGCGAGATTCCGTTAGATTTTCCGCCACCAGGGACCCTTTAAAGAATAGGAACGACAGTTAGCACCAAAGGTTTCTCTTTCCAATCCATCAACCAAGCTCCGTTCCTGACTGAAAATGCTTACCATTGGAAAGACGGACAAAGAGTGCATGCCCAAATCTTGGATCATCGCCGATGACAACACCTTCCACATTGGCGGATGAAGCCTGGACGCTGGTCCATGCCGATGTATGGGCACTGATTTCCTTGTTAGCATCCGCGGTTGATGCAGAGGATCCTTGGATCTTGCAGAGTGCAGCCCGTACGGCTGTAGTATTCAAGGTTGTCACGTCTTGTCGTGTCACGTAATGCAGCATTGTCTCCATGACTGGATCGCGAACAAGAGCCACGCTGATTGCTTCGTGTTGTTCGTTATTTTCTTCCTCACGCAGAACCAATCTCTGAACCACAGCACCAGCAGTCCCCAGAGAATCATCGAGTTCAAACCGGTCATCGCTTTCCAAGCGAAACCGTGGCAGTATAGTGGAAGGGGATAAAATGTTCAAGTTGACTGCATGATTTTGTCGTCCTATGGCAACGCCAATCAGATCCGAGGCAGGAAAATTCTCAATGCCAATGGCAACACCAGTAGAATCGTCCTCCACAGGAGATAGAAGTGGTCCTTGGAGGCTCACTGGCCACGAAACTGCACTTTTGCCAGGGCCATGCGAGAGCACGTTGGCTGTCATGAATTTGTTCTGATTCTCTGGATCTCCAAATGCGTCCTTTAGAAATGTTTTTGCGGCTCTTGCTCGTCGGCCCTTGGCAGTGTCTTTGCTAAACGTTTGCACATGAAAGTCCAAAAAGTCCAGGGCGTTCATCAACAAGGACTTGTGAACAACACTGCCGTCAAACAGAATGGGACTAGCGACATTCACCTCCCCGGATGCCTTCAAGAAAAGGACTGACAATGTGGAAAGCAAGGATAGACCCCCTTCTTTGGATTCTCCCGATTGAGCAAAGCAAAAATCTTCAACGACCTCATTTGGATCATAGGATTCTTCCACCAAGAAAGAAAGTGGCACCGAAGCCAAATCTTGGTCCGCACTATGTTGCAAAACGAGAGAATATTCGTGGCTCTCTTTGTTGTATGTGAGCATAGCCATGGCACCTTCTGGACATAGCGTGGCAAAGTCCATTCGTCTTTGGGGTGCCGGGCGAATTTTGACGATCCTCAACTCGTTTTCGCCATAGAGAAAGTATTGTTCAAATACCCGTCGTGCTTCCACAATCACTTCCCCCTGAGGATCCATTTTCATTTCGAGATAGAAGACATTGTGGCGTGAATAGACACACAGCAAGGATGGCGAAAAACTGGTGGATTCGTGTGATTCGGTATTATTTCTGGTGGTGGCTTTGGGTTTGTCGGCCTCCACATTGAAGAGTTCCACTGGTGGATTCAATTGCAGCTCTTCCTGGACTTCTTCTGGCAAACGAACCTTGTGCACCGTAGAAGGCTCGTTGGACTCGTCATACAACGGAAGTGTGCGGCGTTCCAGGTAAAAGATTTCGCCCTCAAAAGCCAAGGAGAATATCGCCCCCGAGTCGCCACTGGAGCAACAGAGCCGAACCGAAGGACCGTCACTGCCGGGAAGTCCCAATTGTTGTTGTCGAGGACGTGACGGAAACAGGCCCAACGATGTGCCCAGCTCTGGGGAAGAAAACTGTGGAGATGAGACTGGAGGTGGCGAGGAGACGCCTGGAGGCGAAGCTGGCCCCAGGGAAGAAGAAAGACCAAATCGCGGCATTTCGACTCGACTCGATCAAATCAATCAACAGATCGTCGTCTAATAAGTATTCCAACAAACAAAGGGTTTCAAATGCAAGAGGACAGCGAAGGCTAATGTACTTTGGGCTGATGGTGAGTACAGTAGTCTATCGTTCAAAGAGCAAGATTATATACCGGGCAGACCCCGGTGATCTCTGACCCCGTTTAACCTCGGCAGGTAAACTGCCTGAGTTCTCAACCCCTTTACCTCGGCAGGTAAACTGCCTGAGTTCTCAACCCCTTTAATGCTATTTCCTATTTCCTATTCCGGTGAAGCCAAAGTATAAGGATAGAGATAGTCATAAGCCAACAAAACTGAACATTGATGGTTCAATACGAGTTAGGGGTAGGAATAAATCATTAATATTAAGGTTAGTGCAATCAGCACAACAGCACAATAAGCCAGCAGGAGTTGTAAAGGTTAGAGTTACAATAAGGGAATGGCAGCTGGTAAAGTATAGAGTAGCGGGCGGCAACACACGACGTAGTCGGGTGTTGTCGCCAGGGCTAGCTTAATAAAGAAGGTTGCAATGAGGGAATGAATGATACCGGGCGGCAACACACGACATAGTCGGGTGTTGTCGCCAGGGCTGGTGCACTGGCTTGAAAGATGGGTGCAATCTCGAACGTGATCCTCCTTCTTCTATCTGTCTTTCTGCCGAGGTATCGCAGCTCCCGCTGACTTAAATGCTATTTCCTATTTCCTATTTCCTATTCCGGTGAAGCCAAAGTATAAGGATAGAGATAGTCATAAGCCAACAAAACTGAACATTGATGGTTCAATACAAGTTAGGGGTAGGAATAAATCTTTAATATTTAAGGTTAGTGCAATCAGCACAACAGCACACAATAAGCCAGCAGGAGTTGTAAAGGTTAGAGTTACAATAAGGGAATGGCGGCTGGTAAATTATAGAGTAGCGGGCGGCAACACACGACGTAGTCGGGTGTTGTCGCCAGGGCTAGCTTAATAAAAAGAAGGTTGCAATGCGGGAATGAATGATACCGGGCGGCAACACACGACGTAGTCGGGTGTTGTCGCCAGGGCTAGCTTGAAAGATGGGTGCAATCGGAACATGATCCTCCTTCTTCTATCTGTCTTTCTGCCGAGGTATCGCAGCTCCCGCTGACTTATTGTGGTGGTGGTGGGTTTGGTTGGTTGGTTATCCTTAGGGTTAGAGATTTACTTCAACCCCCTCGTTCTCACGCATTCTCATAATACAGTCAACACTCACTTTTTTTAAGTTCCGTTTTCTTAAGTTCCATTACTCTACAAAGTTCCTCTTTTTCAGGGCTGCCCCCCCTGAGTCACTAGTTCTCATGACTGACAAGTGAATGTGCTTTGTGGCAGTTTGAGACAGTGCTGCCAATCAGGACCCAGCATTCAGATTGTTCATTTATACATATATGAAGTTTCTTCATCTATCTTTCATGACAGGCATCTTAGAGAGCTCGAAACTAGCTAGCCACATAGCATGTTCTACTGGTCCAACACAATACAGACGCCATACATACCTGTAGGAGCAAAGCAGTTCCACCCCAAGACCGCTTATCTCTCCTTTCCCCCAAAAAAACAATAGAATATGACAGGAACCACCCCAAGTGGGTCCTAAGACCACGAACGGGCCGATATGGGGCTCCAAAGATCTAAAGTTCCGTAATTCAGCTAAGTTCCGTTTTTTTCTTAATGCTGGGGGGTGGAACTTTAGTGAGTGTTGACTGTAATCATACGGTAGCAACGGATCCTAATATTTTCCTCACGATGCCCACCTCTAAACTCCCGTAAGCTACCACGCCACTTTCTCAGATGGAAAAATCTAATGACTCACGTTGCACACCTCTAAACTCCCGTAAGCTACCACGCCACTTTCTCAGATGGAAAAATCTAATGACTGGCCTGGCACACCTCTAAACTCTTGTAAGCTACCATGCCTCTTTCTCAGATGGAAAATCTTACGTCTCACAGTGCACATCTCTAAACTCCCGTAAGCTACCACGCCACTTTCTCAGACGGAAAAATCGAACGTCTCACGTTGCACACATCTAAACTCTTGTAAGCCACCACACCCCTTTCTCAGACGGAAAAATCTAACGCCACTTTCTCAGACGGAAAATCTAACATCTCACGTTGCACACCTTTAAACTCCCGTAAGCTACCACGCCACTTTCTCAAACGGAAAAATCTTATGTCTCACGTTGCACACCTCTAAACTCCCGTAAGCTACCACACCATTTTCTCAGATGGAAAAATCTAACGTCTCATGTTGCACACCTCTAAACTCCCGTAAGCTACCACGCCACTTTCTCAGACGGAAAAATCTAATGACACTACCTTCAGCCAAACTTTAACAGTATTATTATGCCGGCCCATTTTTTAATTCAGCTCGCCCGGTATATATATTACACCTCCGGTGTCCTTTAAATTTTGTTGTGAGAGAGGGTTTGGGCGCCATCGTTTGGGTGCTCCAGGAAGAAAGCAGCAAGGCTGCCAAATTATGTACGCGTAGGAAAGATGGCCCGAGGGCTAATAAACGGTCCTTGCCAATGCTTCCCCATCTTCATTACGGTACTTGTCCACTCATCATTGACATTGCAAGCAAGCTATGATTCCCGAGTAGAGTCGAAAGTTCGAGGCTCTCGACGCAGCCCTCACATTGAGCCCGAGCTTTCTTCACGAGCGATATTCTAGGTGCAATCGCCCCAGTGAACACATCAAAGGAGTACATGTATGTACCAGTTGGATCGCCGGCAGTAATAGCTGTACTATCTATACTTATCAGCGTTAGGGACTACAGGAGTAGATTCCCTGTCATTGTTTGTACGGCAACACCTGATATCGTGACAGAGCTGTCGCCATCCACATGACATTCCACAATGCCGCCACGCTCCGATGCCTGCTTTCCAACCACGTGCTCTTTGCCAAGCTTCTTACTAAAGTAAGGTCCCAAAGAGCAGTGGGCCGACCCTGTAGCTGGGTCTTCGTTGATCCCGGCCTTGGGCCCAAAGAACCGGGAGAAAAAGTCGAGGGATTCCACCGCATCCCCTTCCGCCGTGGTCAAAGAGGTGGATGTGGCAACGGACGCGGTCTCATCCAGATCCGTTGCCTTTTCGGTCGTACGAGAGGGGGGCCGAGCCTCACAACAAACGACCACGCCCCTCGTGTATCCATCCCACTGAAGGAAGGCATTGTACTGGATGTTGTCGTAGCCAATCGCATCAAAGGCATCTGGCGTCAGTTCGACAAAGACATCTCCAATATCCGAAAGACCAATAAACAGAATAACATCCGAGGGTACTTTGAAGGCCTCCCATAAAATCTTTTGCACCGCTTCCACATCGGCTTCTTCTGTGATTTCCTTTGGTTCCTTGGCAGGAAACTTCATGGCAATCTTGGTGGCGGGTCGTTTCTTGACGACCTTAAGACCCGCGGGCGCTAGCGTTGTCGTCAGGATATCTTCCTTGGCATGAAACACTACTACCTTGTTATTGGAACCGGCATTCCGTTCGGACATGGTTCGGTAGAGGATTCCGGCCGCAGCCAGTGTGGCATGGCCGCACAAATCCACTTCCACCGTGGGCGTAAAGTACCGAATGTACCAATGACGTTCCTGTCCTCTCTTGTGATCTTCATGTAACCATACATACGCCGTTTCGGATAGATTGAATTCCTTGGCCACAATCAACATCCAGGACAGTAGTTGTGGCTCGTTGGGATCAATAACATTGTCCTTGGTAGATTTCAGAATCACCACGGCGGCTGGGTTGCCACTTCCCGGGACATCAACATTGGCAAAGCTGTCGACAATGTAGTAGGGACGTCCAATGCTTTTGTGAGCACTCAAATCCAATTCTAGGTCATACCATTGGTCGTCCCCATGTACGATGGAGCTTGGTTTAATGACAGAGAAACCACAGTCCACGTAAAAGGCCAGCAACTGTTTTTTGGACATCAACACCAACTTTTGGACTCCATCCGCCTTTATGCGCATTTGTTCAATGTAGTCCTTGAGCATGGCTGTGGCCACACCCTTTCGACGATGTTCTTCAGTGACCACGACGCTGTGAATGGCCAACAAGGGACCCTCGGAATGGTGGGTCGACATGGACTCGTGATCAAACTCGTGACATCGGGTAGCACAGATAAATCCAATCACCTCCTTATCGTCATCATCACTTCCCATATAGGCGCATCGAAAATAGGGAGCGGCATGGTGTTGACGATACTGCAGACTGCTCTTGGACGCGGCTTCCGAAGGAGGATACGATGCCTTTTCAATCGCCACGCACCTCGGAATGTCGGCCGGTCGGACCATGCAAAAGTGCAGCTCTTCTTCTTCCTCGATGTCGTCGTCATCCTCGTGATCACCGTCCACACTTTCATTGCTTGGCTCCAGTCCCAGAGCTCCGTTTTCCAGTGATCCATCTTGCTTGGAGATCGACATTGTCAATCCAAAAAAGAGGGTAGTAGAGGTAACCGACTAACCAACTAATCCAAAAAAGGAAAGAGGTTGGAGTGGTACGGCGGCTCTTTCCAGACGAAACTCTCTCCGAGGCCGGAAAAACGGCACCCTGCAAGCAAAAGCTGCTAGCAAGGGGTCCTTTGACAACCTTTCACAAAGCACGGAATGTTGGACAAACAACACAACACAACAACAGGCAGCTCTCTGCTCTCTTGGCTGTGTTGACAAGCTTAGAAGCAACGACGGATCGAGAAAGCGGCGAGAAGAGGAGATGAGAGCCAGGAGAGCAGAGTCATCGAAAAACGCATTAGGGTTGAAGTTTATGCCTCGACCTCCACACCTCCACCCGTTTCTGGTGTCCTCGCCCACCACACACTTTTACTTCTTCTCCCCTTATTACAGCTACTAGCTAGCTAGTACGCTACAGATACGATTGAGCTAGCTAGGGTAGTTGCTGTCTGCCGGTAGTTCGTGATGGGTAGGGAAATGAGGATGTTATAGTGATTCATTCGCTTGGAAAGGGCAAAAAGATTTTGGTAAGGATGGGGCTGGAAACGTGCAGTCTCGCTTCAAGATCGCAACTTGGCATGAAGCAATACATGCACCTGACAGGTAGCGATTTTGATCATGTCCAGCCTTTTGCTAGAGCAAAGAGCCGCTCTCTCACTTTCCTTTCCTTTCCTGGCACCGCAGCCAGAACTCGGGGCGTTTCAAAAACGCACACGGGACAGGAAAGGTATTGCGAGTAGCGTCCCGAAGATGCGAAAACTCTTCCATGTAGCTGGCTACCAGGTACCAGGGAGTGCTCTGTCCCCACGAAGCAAAGGAAAGTATCATGGGCTCTCTAAACATTGGGCTTAGCCAGCCGCATATAGAGTTTCAATGTTTCATAGTTTCGGTATTCTGCCACATTGGACGGGTTGTCTTGCAGAGCTCATCCAGGTGTGTCTGGTTCTCCGTGCTGACTCTTTCCAATCTAGGTTCTAGGCTGCCTCTTGGCCAAGAATTGGTGCCAAAGGCCATTGTTCCTGGAAGGTGGTCGCTTCCAATGCGGCCGCAGCCTTTGCAGGTTGAATAAACAATCGTCGCCAACGTGGGTTGACCATGGCTGCCACGAATCACTGGATATGCATTCTGTGCAACTGACCGAAGCAATTGTTGTGATTTCTTGAATGGTACTCCACAACCATCGGACCCTTTGGCCAACCTGGTAAGCCCCCACGTGTCCCACAAGCAAGCTAGAATGGGACGTCTTTAAAGTCTTCCGGTTTGGGTACTTCTGCCTTGGGCCGGGGTGCCCATTTGCTGGAACGGCTTGGTCTTGTTTTGGTCTGTGGGGCAAGTTTGATCCCTTTTTGCTCTTGCAATCTTCTCTGAAAACGGTATTGGAGCTCTTTCAAGCCCATTTCTCCAAAGAACTCCGAAAGCTCCTCTGGATTCATCAGTTCCATTCTCAAGTTGGCAACCTTGTCAATCCCCTCTGGAAAGGTCATTTGCTCCATTGGGACATTCCTTTCCAGTTCGACCAAGACTCTTGACAGCCGTGCCTGGTCTGCGTTGGCTCGAAGCTTTTCCCGCCGACCCTTTTGTTTCACATCCTCCGTATTCTCCAACAAATTTTCGAGTGATCCAAAGGAACCGATAAGCTCCGCGGCAGTCTTGGGACCAATTCCAGGAACACCAGGCACGTTGTCCGCGGAATCTCCCGCCAACGCCAATACATCTCCAAGCTTGTCGGCTGGGACTCCCCATTTTTCAATGACATCATGGTGAGTCACTCTGTTCATGGTCATGGGATCAATCATTTGCACACTGGGAACCGCAGGGTCATCAGCAGTTGTAACGAGCTGCATCAAATCCTTGTCACCGCTCAAGATGTTGCAATCAATTCCTTCCTCCACCGCCATTCGACTGAGGGTAGCAATGACATCATCGGCCTCGTAAGTTGGGGCCTCAATCTGTACAATCCCATAGGCCTTTGCCGCTTGTCGAATGAATGCAAATTGTGGAATTAAATCGACGGGAGCTTCCGGTCTGTTTGCCTTGTAGAGTTCGTAAATACCATGCCTAAATGTCTTTCCGGGTGCATCAAAGACCAGTACAATTCTGGGTTGTTTGCCCTCCATCAACACATTCAACACTAGTTTGTTGAGCATGTTACAAAAGCCCAAGAGAGCTCCAATGGGCATTCCATCGGCTCTATGGAGTGGAGGGAATGCAAAGCTGTGTTCAGTGGATGTTGACCAACAACAAAGATCAATAGCAGTTAGAAGTGATGTATGACGATTTCTCGGAGACTGGTGATCAAAGTATTTGTCAACCAGTGGAGCATACTCACTAGGCTCGAAAGATGTATGCTGAAGCATCCACAAGAAGCAAAGGGTCGGCTGATGTCCGAGGTTCTGCTCCAGTAGCACGAGCATTTGTTTGATCGGCATCATTGTCTGGTTGTTGCTCTTGTTGTTTTGTTGGTTTGACTACGGTATAGACACTCTTGGCGATGGTTCCGCTTTCCTTTTTTTCTTGTCGCTTTTTGAATTTGGTAATCTCTCGGTTTATCTGCCGGTACTGTAGAATCCAGTTGGCCAATTCCTTTTTCTGTCCCGACCATGCTAATGCTTCGAGGACATCCTTGTTGGTGGATTCTCCGGGCACTCCAAAGAGTGCTTCCGACACTTGTCGTGGACTGTTTGGATTGAATTGTGGGTTGTTGGTTTCTTGTACAATTTTCTGCAGTACAACCTGCAACTGTTCCTGCATACGATCCACGTCCGTGGATACGCTCATACCACGAGATGCTCGTTCTTGTTGCTGTTGTCGATGGGTATTTTCCGGTTGTGCTGGTGATGATGATGATGAAGGTGGTTTGGGTAATGTTTCATCTTGGACCTCCTGAACTTTTTCCGCGGAATCGTTACTCGTGGTCTGCTCTGTTCTGGGTAGCTGTATCGTATCCGTTGATTTTGGTGATTGCGTTGTTTGTGAGTTGACGGCATCAACATCCTGTTGCAGTGGAACAAATGCGGCTTTCTTTTGATTTGCCTTGCTATTGCTATACTGGTTATTGTTGTTGTTGATTGGAACAAATAACGATTGCATTTGTTTTCCTCCTTGGATTTCCCATCCAGTTCCATGAATATTCTGTTCCATTGCCATGTCATCGTCTTGACTGTTGTTCTTGTTGAATGATGTGAATTCTTTATTATCAGATTGTTTGAATTGCTGCTGTTCAATCTTATCCCATTCATCATAGTCATCTTGTGATGGTACATAATCATAAGCCCCAAATGCTTGATCGTCTTGAAAGGCATCAAAGGTCCCTGGAGAATTATTATGATTGCTGGTCGCCTCCAGATGCTTTTTTTGGGGAACAAGAAAAGGTCTGTATCCAAATCCATATTGCAGTTCGGTGGCCGCGGAACTGCTGCCTCTGGATGATGGCACCGATCCCAACGACAGTAAGTGACGGCGAGCTGCCAAGGAAAAGGACGATGCCCTCTTGGCCAGAAGGGAGGTTAGCATGATCTGAAGAAGGAGCACTCGTACTGATAGTCGTTGTCCTGGAATAAGAGTCAAAGAAAATATCTTGTCCGGGAAGGGCATTGCTTGCAAGAAATACTAGTAAGGATACAGTACGGTAGCTCCAGACAAACAAAGAGGTGTAGTAAAAGTATTAGTATGGTAGTTGAGCGAAGTTGTGATGGATGGTGATCAATGTCATTGCTACCGGTACAAACGATCCGATACCCGGAGGGCACGAAAGCTGTACAGTGTACATGTAACGCCACCCTGATGGACCTCAGAAGTGATAATCCGCCTTGCTGGCTCATAATGTCGGACGCATCTTTAGTTGGGGACACAGTGCTTCCATCGCATCTCTACGTGCTTCCTAGTAGCGTATCGTACCAAATTTTTCCCTGGACAGCTCATCTCGAACCATTCACAAGCAGTGCTCCACAAGCAAGAGTGCCCGAGGTGAGATGACGGAATGACAAACCACAAAAGCGTTCTCCGGTCTAGGGCAGTCCTGGAATAACTCCTGGATCCAAATCTTTTGCATACATCTCGGTCCTGGCTCGGCCACATTCTCGACTTGTCACTCAGCGAAGCAACAAGAAACCATTCCGTGCCCACTAGACTAGCTAGCTAGCGAGAAGATACCTCAACCATCCAACAATTCCACAAAATGGGAAAAAGAAGGAGGCGCCTATCACGAATTCTCTAACTAATCCCACAACTCATCGGTTGTCATGCACTTTTCGTCCCTTCTTGCCCTCCTCGTGTTAGGGCTCGTTCCGTTGACGGCGTCGGCTAACAACGCAACCGGCGCCTGGACCAGCGAGTCGTCTGTTAGTGTCACGATACCTCGAAGTACTACTGCTTCCTGCAGCCAAAGACGAGGATTCCAGACACTGCAACTTCTCTACAGCATCCGTGGAAATTCCATTGTATCCGGTCAACACAATGACCAGAAGGATGGAACCGATGAATCTCACTACACGGAAAGAGTTCGTGAAATCACAGGTCAATACCCCGGCCTGTATGGTGCTGATTTCTTGTTTCACGGCTCGGCCGAGCGTCGATGGGCCATTACAATGGAAGCGGAACGACAATGGGCTAAAGGTGCCATTATCAGTCTCATGTGGCATGCTTGCCCTCCAACAATGGGGCCAAATGCCACAATGAGATGCTTTTGGGAGGGTGATATACTGAGTGAATTGACAGATTTAGAATGGAATGACTTGATCTCTGATGGAGGAGATCTCAACAGCAATTGGAAAACCCGCATTGATGAAATTTCAGTTTACCTCCAATACCTGGAGCAAAGGAACGTCGAGGTCTTGTGGCGACCTCTGCATGAACAGAATCAGCCCCTCTTCTGGTGGGGGGGCAGGACTGGAGACAACGGTACAAAGAAGCTGTGGCAGCTCACACATGACTACATGACTAATGAGCTTGGCCTGAAGAATCTGATTTGGGTTTGGGACGTCCAAGACTTGCAAACTATTGACTTTGACGAGTACAATCCAGGGCAAGAGTACTTTGATATAGCTGCTTTGGACATCTATGCACCGGCATTCTCGTACACATTCAACCTGTGGTACATTTCTCTGTTGGCCAATGCAGGGGATCGAGTAGTCGCTATAGGCGAGAACTTTCAGTTGCCAACCCAAAGTGTTCTGGACTCCCAACCTATGTGGACCTTCTTTATGACCTGGGCAAATGGTTTGGAGGCAGATCAAGGTGGATCACAGACCAATTCGATTGGGTTCATCCGTGAAGTCTACAACAATCCCCGTGTCCTCAAGCTGAAGGACATGCCAGGATGGCTCAACCAGTCCTTTGTTTTTGATTGCCAAGAAACGACTGACTGTAGTGACGATCTGGACTGTGGATTCGATGGGTATTGCCTCAGTGATGTTTGCTACTATGACTTTCGATCCTACCATTCCACCTTACCCGGCCGCATCTTTGCTGTTTCGGATCTGGATCGGCACACTATGGATTGTGGAGGAAACGGCATCAGTCAATTCCAGCTGGTCTCACCACTAGTCTTCAACTACAATTACTACTACACCTGCAGTCAGCTCAACAATATGACTACAGGTGCCATGCGGCAGACCTCTATGGATATCGCAACCCTGGGCAACGTCATTTTTTTGGATCGTCATGCCATTGGCTGCCAAGGGAAAGCAATTCAATACCTGCGTTTAGTTTCTGATGGCGGAAACATTGGCTATGCTTATCAATGCGGATACGACGATCTCTTCGAAGTGACTGATTACTACACCGAATGGGATTCCATTGGATTCTTGGGAACAGGACAACCCGGTTATCTCGACAGGCATAAGGTGTCCTGTCCAACAGGAAAGGTTTTGAGTTTTGTGCAGCTACAGACCAATGATTCAATGCGCTATCACTACAGATGTGGTTTCGCATTGTATGTTCCAAGCCCTTGAACATGCACTTTTAGATATATATATAGACTTCAGCAATAAAGTAGCCCCCGATTTTCATTCTTGAGTATCCCGCTCACTTTATGCTGGATGCTGTCGAGTCTGTTTGTACCCGCCGGTCTCTGCCAGCTGGCTCGTACCGGCAGCTTGTAGGAGGATCGCGTGATCCTCGTCACAAATCGGCCGATACAATCGCTTCTGCGGAGCAGATTGGCTCAGTGACAAGCTTGACCGGTTCCTCCTTCGTACCTTCGTCATGCCCGCAGCCGTACCGTGTGCATACAGTTTTCCTGACGGGTACCGTACCGGAACCACGTTCATGAGCACACCTGAGAGCCCTTTTCGGCTCCTCCATTCCGTCAAGACTAAGTGCACCAATACCGTAACTCTGTCAGCCACCAGCGAACACCTGGTCTACGGTTGTTCGCTTCGACAATCCCTTGCCTTGTGAATTGAATTATTGCATCCGCAACCGCAGCCGCAACGTCACTCTTCATTCAAATGATGTAGTCAATATCCTTGTTTTCTCGAAGCCAGGTTCCAAAAGTAAAGACAATGCTGAAGAAGCTTCCAAAGATCCCGCAGTAAGTGTTGTTGACACCGGAAATGACACCATCTGCACCTGTGTACTTTAGAATCACCCAAAACTTGAATGCCACCATGCTCGAAATCAGGAGACCTTCCAGAAATCTCCAATTGAGAACGAACCGACACCCGCCTGGGAAGTTGAGTTTCAATGCGGTCGACCAAACATGATTAAAGAAGAGTGCCATGAAACAGAGAAAGACCTCGGACCAGACCATGACCAAGATGCGGGTCCAATCACCTTGGTTCAGTACGATAACTTCTCCTTCGAGCTGAAAGAGAATATCATCCCGATGCCAGTACATGTCGGTTCCAGCCCCGGCCGTAATGAGCACAAATATGAGCGTCCATGCCCAATTATAGGTTGTTTCACGATGGTGTGTCAAGACCTTGACCGCCAAACGGGGCAAGTTGGCACTTTGCCTCCAAACTCCCAGATTCAAGACGGTACAGATAAAGACAATCCATGTGGTGACAAACACATTGGCTTGGACTTCTCCTACGGACAGACTCGCAGTGTTGATGTGGAGACCGACACACCAGAATACCACCATGGCAATGAGTAGATTGCGTTCGGCCAGTGATCCATCTCGAAAGAATTGGAACCACGTTTTCGGGAAGCAAATCGTATCAAAATGCATGAGGAGGATGACGAGGAACATCAAGACTCCTGCCGTTGCAGTCCCAATGCACGCCCATAGTTTCCAGAGACTATAACATACATCATACAGTAGAATGCGTGAGTTTGATTTGATATCTCTTCAGAAGATAGATAGATAGATGGATAGAATACAGTTTTTACGTTGTTGGCTGTTGCCTGCCTGTCCGACTTACTAAACGGGCCCATTGATGGTACGAAAGTACTCTCTGGCAGGCCATTGTGTTTCATTGTAGGCAAATTGTAGTTCGATGGGTGCTGTTTCCAGCTGATTGGCCCTCGCTTGTTGGAATGTTTTTTCTTCTCCCAAGTAAAACTGAACCACACTCGTCAGCATCACGGTGGAAGCTATCATGATAAATGGAACAAAGAAAATAGAAATGAGAGTAGAGTCAGTTGTTGTGACGCTAGCTAGCTAGCTAGACCAGTAGTAGACTATCAAGATAGTGATATCAACCTCTTTCATAACGTACCAATAAAAGCAAATAAGTATCCCAACAATCTGGAACTGGCCCGGATATCTTCGTTGGATAGATGCAACTGCAAGCGTCGTTTTTCGGCCGCTTCATCTTGCACAAAATCGGAAAAATCCTCATCGATCCCTTCATTATGGGAGAACTCTCGAAGGATACTGGATCGAAATCCCACCACCTTGCGCTGACTGCTGGTCACGCGAGGGTGAGGACCAAGTCGACTGGGAGGAGGAGGAGTCCTCGTAAAGCTGCGAAGTACTTCTTCATCTACAGACGGGGAAAGCCGCGATGGAGGAGTGGATTCTCGCAATACAATCCTTGTGGGCATGATTCTTTCTCGTTCGTTGTCAGGGCGACGACAGCAAGCACAGAATAAATGAGAAACCTCAATCGATTTGCGAGAAAGAAGTGACAAAGTGACCCCTTCCCTTTTTCATTCGTAGGGTTAAGGCAATTTTCTCTTCACTAAAGACGCTGTGCGACCATGTTACGGATCCTTGACAGACCAGACCGTGACTGAGCCGTGAAAGACTGACCGCCGCTCATTGAATGAGCCACCCTTGGCCATTGACTTGCCTTGACTTCAGCCTTCGCGATCATCAGCCATCGATCGATCGCTTGGGCATCCATCGGCCTCATCTATCACTCGTTTATTGTTGCTTGCTTGCTGCCAACAGGTCCTCCACGCATTGGATTGCCGTGAGTTTTTTTGGTTTTTCGTGGAGATAGATTTACACTTACTTGTCATCAGCTGAACTGGACTACTTGCATCAACCAAGCAAAAGAGAACAACAACATGGTACGTCTGTAGAGTTGGTTGGTTGGTTTTGTCGATCATGCCATGGGCAGAGCAGGCATCAGTACGGTATCTTTAAGGCGCGTGTGCTCACTTTTCTCGTTTCTCGTGGCGTGTCCATCCATCGTTGATACCCCTGGATACCCCTGCTTAATGACATACATGGGTATCTATCGTATCCCACCTCTCCCCTCACGGTATGTAATGTACAGTCCAAGAACTTTTTTGCGGCATTAGACGACTCGGGCGATGAGGCTCCTGCTCCTCCCAAGTCAAAAGCCGTAGAAAAGAAGCCGCAGAACAAGGCAAAACCAAGCAATAACAAGTTTGCAGAGCCATCGAAAACGGATCCAAAGTACGTTCTCTGCCTTCATTATTGTTGGGGTATCCTCAACCTACTGCAGGAGTGTTAATTGGATGGCTTGTCTCACTATTTCTGCGTGCCTTCCTCTTTGTCTACCATCTAAATTCCTGACTCTTTCTTCTTCTTAATAACCAACTAACCAACTCAACTCTTCCATAATAACAAACTATATATACATTATAAACACGCAAAACATCAGAAGGCGACCCAATACGAATGATCGCAATACCAAGTATGGTCGAGGCGGCCGTGGCCCCGTGAGAGATGGAAAACGCCAATACGATCGTCGATCGGGAACTGGACGTGGACGCGAGGTCAAAAAAGGAGGAGGTGGTGCCCGAAATTGGGGATCCGACAAAAATGAGGCTCGTCAAGCCGAAGGACACGTCGATGAAGATGCCGTCGTGACGCCTCCAGAAGAAGGCAAGGAGGATGTCACCGAACAGGGTGCTGCCGAAGGAGAAGAAGCCCCTGTCGAAGAGGAAGAAGCTGTACCCGAGCCGGAACCCGAACCAGAGGATATTACCTTGTCCTACGAAGAGTACATGGCAACCAAAGCCAATCCTGACAATGAAGCCTTTGCTCCCGTCAAGGAGAGGGAGGTGGCGAATGAATTTGCCGGTTTGAGCGTGAAAAAGAAGGAAGAGGATGAAGATTTCATGATGATGGGTGGAGGCAAGCAGAAAAAGAAAAAACAAAACAAAGGAGCTCCGAAACAATCCATCACATTGGACTTTCGAGTCACCAGTAGTAGTGGTGGTGGTGATGACCGACGAAGAGACTCGGGTGGTCGTGGAGGTAGAGATGGAAGAGGAAGAGGCCGTGGTGGACGAGGAGGCAGAGATGGAAGGGGTCGAGGACGTGACGGAGGAAGAGGAGGCCGTGATGGTGGAAGAGGAGGACGTGGCGGAAGAGGCCAAGGAGGAGGACGTGGTGGTGGTGGTGGAAGAGGCCAAGGAGGAGGACGGGGTCTCAACGTCATGGATGAATCGGCTTTTCCCTCGCTGGGTTAGGCTTTGTGTATTGTAGTTGCAAGAGCAGTCAATTCACTTCACTTGCAAGCAGCAGCAACAACGACAAACCGCAAAACACACACACACACACACATTCTCTCGGGATAACATCATCACCATTACATGTTGCACACACACAGAATCATACAACCAAACGGCTCGCCACTGTAAGAGGACTTGAAAGTGGACAGCCACGAATAGAGAGTTTGTTGTGGCTGTTGTCTGGATGAAGCTAAACAAGCAGTTAACCTTGGATGGCTGATTTTGATAGTCGTACCGTAGCTAGCTAGATTCTTCTACATGCACATCTGAGAGAGTTACAGTAGCTTTTTGATGCTTACCGGTACCAGGTACTTGCTTCCGGTACCAAGGCTCGGGAGCAGAACCAAAAGCACCCAGGTGCACGGAGGGAACTTTTGGTGGTAAACGCTAACCCTAAAGGAGATTCACACTTCATCAGCTCATTTTTTCAGGGATAAACCGAGGCCCCACGCCAACCTCCAATTCCTTCAGCCAAGTGCTTTGCTTCATTTATTTCGGCTTGACAATGGATCTTCCTTCCAAATGCAGGCAGCTCCTTCGAACTGCCGTGATTGCTGCAGTTATTGCCTTCATGGGCATTGCTTACATGGGTGTGGACTTTGAGCTGACCCTCAAATTCTCGCAACCATCAATACTGTCTTTGGACGAACCACAAGACCATCCGGCATTGTCCAGCAGTTCAAGTCGCAATGATCAGATTCTTACACCTAAGCTCTACAGGAACCTATCATGTCCCTTCGAATGGAGCAAGTTTTCATGCTTTCATCAGGGACGCGAGGCTCAAGCTGAAGCAGCCCATGAGCTGGTTGCCAATGCTTGGAAGCAGCAAAGAAAAAGGACCGTCCGAGACTACTGGAAATCTCCCTACTTTCTTCAAAGAGATGATGATGATAGTGATGATTCTACTACCGGTAGAAGTAACCTGCTGTTGGTTGGAGACTCAACGATGCGACAAGTCTTTATAGCGTTGGGGTGTCGATTCTGGCAACTGGATCAGATTGAGGAATATCATCTGGACTGGAAGGACCACTGGCCATGCAATGGAACTCCAAACTGCATCACAAAAGGGAACCACTCTGGCTTTGAAACAGGTCGTATACGGTTAAAAGATGGCGGCCCAGAGATCTTTTTCCTACCGCATTCCGGTGCCCTCGGTGGTCAGCACGACATTGTGGATCGTTGGATGCAAGGATGGAACTCAACGCAACAACAGCTGTCCTTTCAACTGAATCCGAAAGAGAATGAGACCATCTATCACCTACAAAGTCAAAGGGATGTTGTGGTGTACAACATTGGTTTGCACTTGGGTCCAGCAAAGCGAAAGGACATGTACGGCAAGCTCAACGAACTGGGACAGTCATTGCTGACATCCACCAAGTCACCTGCTACAACCAGCAGTGCTCCCACTTGGGTATACATGACCACCATTACACAGCATTTTCAAACGGTGGACGGTGTCTACAATAGCGAGCCACTTAAAGTTTCTGCTTTGTCGAATAGTACCACAAACAACAATTGCCGGGGCTCCGTGCCGAAGAACCCCAGACGACTGGATGAACTGCAAGTCTTCCACGAAGGCCAGAATGTAAATGTTCTTCTAGATGTTCGGGATGAAGCAATGGGAAAATATCATGTGGGAGGTATTGATTGTACCCACTACTGCATGGCGGGACCACCTGATTTGATGGCCATGCAACTATTGGATCGCCTAGCGCAGCATTATTTTGGAAGGAGCAAGGGATAGCCTGCAGCAGTCACGTGCTGGGGTACTGTAGCGGTACGATTGCAGTTGGAAATATATGGGCATGGTGAGATGCGGAAAAGGTACCAGGTACTACCAACAACTCGGCGTAGATTGATGGTTTCAGTAGTGCCGTAGCCACAATCAGTACGTCAAGGCAACAGCCCATACTTTACTTGTTTGAGTCAAATGCCCATCTTAGTATAGTCACTGGTAGACTCCTCGTTTCCAGTCGTAGCTGGCTGGGAGGAGGAGGTGTTGAGAATGATCAGAAGCACTCAGAGCTGGCCACCGGTCCGTTGCGATCAAGGGGAGTAAGTAAGTCCTTCTTGCAGCAATGTTACTGGATGTGTACGCCCATCGAGCGGAAGGTTGAAAGGAATTCAAATGGGGGTCAAGTTTACAAGCATATCATAGTCTACTAGTAGTTTGAGGCTATGCTCTGTTGCATGGGAGGCCACCGGTATGTGATGGTGGCAGCATGCTTCCTATTCTCTTTGACTGCCGTGAGTACTGTCCATAGAAGGCTGAAAGACTTATTGACCATTCGTCGGGACGAAGAATGTTGCAGCGACGAAGATCGCATCCATCTGCTTCATTCCCAGCAACAACGTCCATCATCTATCCATCTGATGCCGATAAAACTCTCCATTGGCATCTCTGTCCCATAGGCTTCAAGATAAGGACAACCTCGGACGACGAAGACGGAAGCACCTGTTTTCGGCCTGCAAGAGTGGTGGCAGATTGTCACATATTATTTGAAATTTTGACATCCTTACCACCCCCATCCATTGATACACACGATCAGCCATCCCAACCTTTCAGCATTAGAGCACCAAACCAACAGACAATGATGATTAGAATACACCGATGGATCCTGACGTTGCTGTTGGAGATGGCAGTCCTTGCCACTCCAGGTCTAGCGTAAGTGTGTTGGAGGGAGGCGGCTGACATTTCTGTCCCAGATTGAGACAGCTATGCTAACAAGATACCCGTCTGCCTGCTTATCCAATGATAATACCCTTTCCTCCTTCTTAAAGGTTTCAGAATGTTCCTGTATCCATTGTTGGATCATCCTGTCGGTCCCACCACCCCTTGCAACGAAGCAGTGGAATATGTAGCAGTCTGTATGCGGCACAGCAACAAGAACAATCCAAATCTACAGAGGGCACGACAACCAGTGGTAGCACAGACAGTCCAACAGACAGTAGCAATGGCCAAGAAGAGGGAGAAGAAGCTGATGTCAAGAACCTTAGAGTCCCACAGGTTCACTTGCCACCTCGGTTGGCACCTGGAGTGGCGTGGCAGCATCACCATCGGGCTACCGTGCAACTGGTAAGAGATCATACGTCCGGTATCAATAAGCAACAACAACCAACACCACAATTGGAGGTATCAGCCGAAGCTACTGACGAGGAAGCAGACGCACAAGGCAATCCCGTCGGACGATTTCTATCCAATATTGGGAGATCATCACCCCTCGTCTCGGCATCTCCCGAATGGAAACGATTGCAACAACATGCCAAGTACATTCAATCTACTCATCTACGAGACTTACTCCAAGATACGGAGCGTTGCCAAGAAATGTATGCAACACACGATGGCGTCTACTTGGATTATTCCCGTCAACGAGCCGACTTGGAAACCATGCGACTCTTGTTCGAATTGGCCGAAAAACAAAATCTCAAACAACAAATCGAAGCCATGTTTGATGGCGAGAAAATTAACTTTACCGAAGAACGAGCCGTTCTACACACGGCACTGCGAGCCGATCGCAGCAAAATTGGAACCGTCATGGTCGATGGTGTCGATGCCGTACAAGAAGTACACGAGGTGCTCGATCAGATTCAAGAGTTCACACAGGGCGTACGATCTGGTGCTATTCGTGGATACACGGGAAAGAGATTACGCAACATTGTATCGGTCGGCATCGGAGGAAGTTACCTAGGACCGGAATTCCTCCACGAAGTCCTCAAGACGGAACCGGAAGGCAGCAATGCGGCTTTGGGATACAGTCTTCGATTCCTGGCAAATGTCGACCCCGTGGATGTCGAACGAACCTGCGCCGATCTTGATCCGGAAGAAACCATGATTGTCATTGTGTCCAAAACGTTCACCACAGCCGAAACCATGTTGAATGCACGCACGATGCGTCAATGGTTGTGGGATTTCATGGGAAATGATAAGGAAGTCGTGCGGAAACATTTTGTGGCGTGTGCGTCCGTGTCGGCCACCGACAAGGTCCGAGACTTTGGCATTGACACGGAGAATCGATTCTTTCGATTTTGGGATTGGGTCGGTGGACGCTACAGTGTGTGCAGTGCTGCTGGTGCTGTGCCTCTCTCGCTTTTGTATGGCTTTGATCTGTTTGAAAAATTTCTGCAGGTACGTTGTTTGTCTTGTCTTGTCTTGTCTTGTCTTGAATTATTGTCCCTTGACAGTTTCTTCAGTAAAGGAGAATGAATGCAGATTACTGACGCACGCACAATCCACCACCAACAAAATGGCGTTGGTTTCTTTTTCGTTTCGTTTTGCAGGGCGCCCGTTCCATGGATGAACATTTTCGATCGGCACCCATGGAGAAGAATATCCCTATTCTCATGGGTCTGTTGGGAGTCTGGAACATGTCTTTTCTGGGATACAATACGAGGACCACACTGCCCTATGCGGAAGCCTTGCTCAAACTGCCGGCTCATATTCAACAACTGGACATGGAAAGCAATGGCAAGTCCATGACAAAGTTCGGAATCCCCGTCGATTATCCCGTGGGAGAAATTGATTTTGGTGAACCAGGGACCAACGGCCAGCACAGCTTCTACCAGCTCTTACACATGGGACAGACGGTGGCTTGTGACTTTATTGGATTCGTGCAATCGCAGCAAGATTTGTGCCTCGATGACGAAAAACTGTCCTCCCACGACGAACTCATGGCCAACTTTTTCGCCCAACCCGATGCCTTGGCTACTGGCAAGACTGCTGAACAAGTCAGGAGCGAAGGAGTCAAGGACGAACTCATCCCTCACAAGGTCTTTGAAGGCAATCGTCCCAGTATTTCCTTTTTGCTACCAAAGCTTACTGCCTACGCGACGGGCCAGCTTCTGTCTATGTACGAACACAGAACGGCTACGCAAGGATTTATCTGGGACATTAACTCGTTTGACCAATGGGGAGTGGAACTGGGGAAGAAACTTGCCATTGACATTCGGAACAAGTTCCTAAAGGCTCGAAACGAACAGAAAGAAGAAAGGAGAGCCGAAGAGGAGGATATTGTCGAAGCTGACAATCCAGCGACTGAACGGATTCTAAACTACTATGTCAAGAACTCGGCAGAGGAGTCAGGTGAAGCAAGGGGGTTTGGACGCGGCTCTAGCGGCGAAGCGACGTCATCGTCGCGAAAGTCACAACGAGAGCACGTCCCTCCGGAACGCAACGACCTTTGTGGAAAGAATGGAAAGCTGTCTCGATAGCTCTCGCCGTGTTTGTGTGCAACGGTGCTGTGGTCTAATCCCGGCACCCGGTGCTAGAAACGTAGAGTAAATGTTACATACCTGGTACGCTACCAAGATGGAAGCTTTTGCACCTCAGCGATGTACCGGTACCTCGGAGGAAGCAAAAGCTTCATGCAAACCTTCCAGTTTGCGATGCTTGGCAACAGCATGGTTGATCTCTAGCTAGAGAGTCCAGCTTTTAGCTTGTGCACCATGCCTTGTGCCCCAGATTCAAACGAGACTAGCTGTTGTACAAGACCTGCATGACATCTGCGCTGCCATCGGGTTAGCTCACTGCGCTGATGCCTCGGGAGCATCGCATTGTCTCGTTCAAAGTTTGCTTCCATGTATGCAAAACAGAAGTTCCTGGTCGTCTAACCCACCCAACCTAACGCACCTACGATGTTACCGGAGCCTGAGGCAGCCAAATTATTATTAGCTTACATATTCTAGTAGCTATAGTATACACAGTAGACCCTCCAAGTGGATAGAGCCGTAACGAATACCAAAACTCAGACCCGGACCTACAGCACCACTGTCGTCCCTTCACATTAATTTTTCCACTGCAATGTCAAGGCCCAAACTCTTGTGGTGTCTCCAGTGCGGGGCTAGCATTTGCGGTAAATCCAGTGCCAGAGCCGGCCCTTGTAGGCGTCGCAGTGCCTGGGCAAGCTGTTGTGGTGTCTCCAATACTCCTGAGCAAGCCCTCGTGGGAAATCCAGTGGTACTAGCTATTGGGGTTGCCCTTGGCACCAGAACGGTTGGCTTTTTGAAGCCCAAGAAGTGGTCCTGCTAAACAAAGAAACAAAACGACCTCCTCCCTATGCTCTGCCTCGTGGCTTCCTTCCTGCTTCTCTACAGCCAGTTGATAATTTAGAAAATTTAGAACAGAACCTATCTTTTGAACTACAAACTATTTACCATCGAAGTCATAAACAGCAAAGTGCAACCACTAGCTAGGCAACAGAATGAAGATATTTGCTTTGCTTGGCTGGAGCCAATTCGTTCAGCTTCTGTCTGTCTACCGGCCCAAGAAGCAAGAGCGGTGAAACCAGCAGCAAAGCTCTCGTAGCCAGCATTAATTGCGGGTTGCCGCAGGCTCTCAATCCTGATCCTCTTCTGCCTCGTCCTCTGACCCCTTATGCGGGCAGCCGTTTGCCTCAGCCCACACATTAAGCTCATAATTTCCATTGGCAAGTGCCCATTCCAATGTATCAGCATCCCAGGGACATCCGTTTTCTCGAGCCCATTTCAGAATATCCAATTGATCTCCTTCAGCTGCAGCACTGCATGTCCTTTCATCCCAGGGGCATCCATTCTCTCGAGCCCATTTCAGCAATTCCAAATGTCCTCCTTCAGCTGCAAATGAGCAAGTATCAGCATCCCAGGGACATCCATTCTCTCGAGCCCATTTCAGAATATCCAAGTGACCATGTATAGCAGCAGAACTGCATGTAGATTCATCCCACAGGCATCCTTTCTCTCGAGCCCATTTGAGAATATCCAAGCGACCACCCCTAGCAGCACCACTGCATGTCCATTCATCCCATGGGCAGCAATTCTCTTTGGCCCATTTCAACAATGTGAAATGACCAAATTCAGCAGCTTTGGTGCATGTAAAATCGTTCCAAGGGCATCCGTTGGCACGTGCCCACTTCAGCACTTGGAGATGCCCACTCTTTGCAGCTTCAACACATGTGTGGGCATCCCAGGGACAACCATGCTCGCGTGCCCACTTGAGAATGTCCAAGTGCCCCGATGATGCTGCAGCATGGCATGTCCATGTGTCCCAAGGGCAACCATTCTCATGTGCCCATTTGAGAATGTCTAGATGCCCATTTCTAGCAGCAGCCTCACATGTATCCTCACACCATGGAAACTGTTGCTCACGGGCCCATTGCAAAACTGTTATAGTTCCAGCTTTGGCAATTACCGGGCAAATACCACCTGCCCTTATGTCATTCTTACCACATTTATCATTCAGCCAGTGTGTGGCAAGTGCCACATTGCATATGGTGTTGCCATAGAATGTGTTAGTACTGGTTGCTGCAATTTTTTGCCATGTCAGTTTGCTTTCACTACAATTTATCACCCGCGGAGGATCCTTGACGGCAGCACCATATTCCTTGTACAGCTGATTCAGTTGTTTGTTGACGCCACCCACAAAGGCATAATGACCCATGCCAACAAAGGGGAGAATCCCAGCAATCCAAATATCTTTCTCATGCAGCAAGATGCCAGAGGCAACATCCAGTAGTCTCTGCCGTTTCCATACAGGCTTCTCAGCGGTAGAAGCAGAAGACATGACAAGTAAGTTAGTTTGATATGATCCTCTCCGCCAAAGTGAAGGGTTCCCTTGTGCTTGGAGCTAGCTAGCAGGAGGAATAAGATTGGAGAGGTGCTGGCTGCTGTTGCTGCTTCCTTCTTCCTTCGACGCCGAGTTAGTCCAAGTCCGTGCAGGGTGGAAGACAATGTTACATGGATAGTTGAGGTAAATAGAGTTAAACATGAACAATTATCTCAGTATAAGCTACTATTAATAGACTATCTTCTTCCGAGAAAGTTGGTTTACCGGACCTACCTGCGTGTCAATGACAGCTTCCTACTTGCTCTTGCCCCCACGAGATCCAACCGTTGTTGGCGTCAGAGCGAACGCGAAGGTTCGGTTCGTTTTTTCAAGGAGGCAAGAGGAAGGAAGAACCCTTCACCACAACCCAACAAGCAAGATCCAACAAGAAAGCCCACAAAAAAAAGTTGACAACCAAAAGAAAATCCACCACAAACACAAAAACAGCAATAAACAAGGCAAGCAAACGATGACGTATTGTGAGAGTTGCAAGTGCTATCTGGAATCAAGCGATGCTATCCAGAAACATCTGGATGAAAAACATGGCGTTCATGTTCGGGTGGGATCATCCCTAACGTATTGTGACGATTGCCACAAATATTTGAAGAAGAGTCCCTTTGCGGAGAGCAGGAAAGCTCTCGAGAAGCACTTGCAAAAGATACACAATGTCGAGATGCACACTCCTTAAACAACGAGATTCGCAGGAAGCTATCAGGATTACCAAAATTGAGTCCGTGTTTAGTGGACGGAGACTCCTTGAAAAGTAAAGGGAGGAAAGCAGCCTTAAAGTAGACACAACACTATTCCGCAGAAATCAAACGTTTATCGCTGGCAACACTTTTTAAGATTGTTCACACTCTAGCGTAGCAGCAGCATAGGAATTCAGAGGTGAACTTGGGAGGAGGTAATCCAAAGGACAACGCGAGGAGATGCCGCAATGCCGCGGTCGGTGAAATGCACGGACTTTTTTAGAAGACCACCTATTGCCTGCCAAATGACATCATAGGCACATTGTTCCTTCAAGTCTCCCCAGTATTCACAGGCCTTCTCATCAGTTTCCATTGGAAATGGTGCATTCGCCACGACTATGTCCTACTCTACATGTATCAGTGCTAGGCATGGTTCACTCCACTTGAGGTGCTGAGGGAATGATTCAATCTGTTTGCCTGGAAGAGTTTTGGCTCATTCTAAAATGATTGCTACTCAATTCCAAATGGCTGCATCAGGATCAGTCATCACGACAGTTCCATTGAGGCCAAGCCAGTTGTAACTTCCAAACTCTCCCAAAAGACCTCTGCTGCCACCATACTCTTCAAAGCTAGCACCAACACTCTTGGCACTGATCAGGTGCTTGAAGGACCACAATCTGCTTTCCCTCTACGATACCAATACCTAGAACCAGAGAGCCAGGAACACTGCATGCCTTGACTGTGTTCTTGTGTCACCATTATTAGCACCATCTCTAATGTTTTTTTGTCTTACCTTACTCGTCTGTCGTGTAAAGGACGCACATCTGCTTGAACGGAACACAATGCACGGTTGCCCCTCTTCCGAGCGCAGAGTGACGAGTCCCGTCGTGCCGTTCAAAAATCGCTGTTGCTGGCTGTAACATAAAGCAGCAACGGCAATACAATAACAAGTTTGACCATGGCATCGTCTCTGTGTCGACGATCGTCTTCGATGGGGTACGACGACGATCACGGGAGTGTCTGGGGGAGTGCCAGTATCGCGAGCGATGGAGAAGGAGGAATGCTCCGCGGAAAACGAATGAATAACAAGTCGACTCCCATTGCTTGGAGTCGTCTCCAGAGCACTGCGACCTGGAATGTGTTTGGAAGAAGCCACCACAACAATCACAAAGGCCACCAAAAGAATAAGAAAAAGACGAGAAATTTGGACCAGAGACGGTCTCTCAGTATGAAGGGAAGTCTGGAACTCACCAATACTAATGGGGAGAGCGATGACATTAATCCGTATCGCATGCTGCAGATTCGCAAGGATGCGACACAAGCGGAAATCAAGACCGCCTATCGCCGTCATGCTCTTTGGTACCATCCTAGCCGATGTACGCAATCTGCTACTGTGCTAGAACAAGAACGACGGACACGAGTCTTTACCATTCTCGCCGCATGCTGTGAGACGCTATTGGAACGGGAAAGCCGCGCCCGATTGGATCTAATCTTGTCGAAAGGACCCCGTAGCAGTGTGGCGACGACTGCTACTACGAATACATGTAGTACGCAGTCCAGTGCACCACGACCGGCATTTCGAAACAGCAACAGCAGTACTGACATTCCACTGTTGGAGCTGTCACTCTCCTACTCGACCGATTCTCAAGATGACGACGACAACGATGTCGCCACTGGCTGGTGTCGGTATGAGTGGCCCTGTGGCAATAATAATAATAATGGCCGTGACAACGGCTGTCACTCCACCACCAATCAACAACAGCAGCAGCAGCAACACAGCCACAAATCTCGTAGACGGTCGTCTTCCATCAGCAGCAGCCGGAGAAGAAGCGATACATTTCACAGTGTCAATAGTCGATACGTCCGATCCATGAGTTCCGGCAGTACCACCGAAGATGATCACATTCACTACACACAAACCGAAACAGACCGACTCTTTGGAGGACCCCTCTCTCTCATGTACCGGGCTCGCATGTTCCGTCCCTTCTCCGATCCCTACACCGTCTTTGATCGAGTCTTTGGAAGTGCCGTCTTTCCATCATCCAAAGAGGGCGCCACCACTTCGCCCCTTTACCGAAATGCGAATTCGAGCAATCTACAACAATCCCGATCCGCCGCATGGACGGGAACCTGTGACACGCTGCCCGACGGATCCACCGTTTACACCACCAGTCGCATCTTGCACGGTCGAAAACTTGTCAAACGAGAAACCATTTCCCTAGATAAAGTCACGGGCAAAAAGAAATCCACCATTACCGTCACGTCGGAGGAGTTGCCGCCACTCGACCATGAAAACAAAAAGCAACAAAAAGACAATCATCAGCAAAAGGATTCTCAAGATTCACCGAAAAAGGGATCATCTTTCCTCGACAATTGCATCTGCTATTTGGACTGCTGCAGTCCCCTGGATCTCTTGGCTGCGTGCGACTTTGCAACCGAAGACTACTACTCCTTTGGAACATTTGTCAATGGCCCGCATGAAAACAGGGGGGAATCCAAACAAATGGACCCCAGTAGTCCCAATATTGAAGTCTATTAGTTAGCTACCGTAGAAAGCTAGTAAACAAGCATTTCCAAGAGTCGAGTCCTTTCGTTTTGTACCAGTTAAAAGCGTACCTACTCATATTGGCATCGTACATGTATGAATGAGAGCCCACACGCAGGCCTTATATTAGTTTAGTTTATTCACGCAACACAATTGCTGAAGCTCAGCAAAGAAGGCTGCGTTAGCCGCCATGGAAGGAGAGTCACCCAATATGGTATCGCAGCTGTGTTGCGCAAGGAGTATGAGCACAAGATTGCCAAACTGGAGGCAAGTCTGGAAAAAGCTCGTTCCAGTTCCAGTTCCAGTTCCAGTTCCAGTTCCAGTTCCAGTTCCAGTTCCAGTTCCAGTTCCAGTTCCAGTTCCAGTTCCAGTTCCAGTTCCAGTTTGTCTGATGAGAAAGAACGCCAATACCAAGCGACATTACGAAAAGCATCCAAAGACATGAAAGCATATCGATCTGAAATCAACACCTTGCAGTCACAGCTTGCGGATGCAAGCCAATCAGCCGACAGTTCCACATCAGCTGTTGAGCACCAGAAGACCTACTTTGACAATGAAGCTCTGAAGACCAAGCTTGGAAAGTACGTCAAAACTTGCCAGCTATACTTGGATGAGAAAGAGGAGATGGCAAAAATGATCTCATCAACATTTGAGAATATCACGTGCAAGGGGTGTCCTGGATGCTGTTGTTGCACTTTGCGATCAAGACGTTTCGCTGAAGGCCCAATTCCAAAGCCAGCAAGCTCAGCATTGCGACAAAGAAAAGCTTCGTGCCACTCTTTCAAGATCACTTTCACGAAACGTGACCGATGATGAGATTGCCCCATGCATCGAATCGGTTTTGAAGAAGCACACAAAACTGCTCCAACAGGTGAGAACATATTATATGTAATATGTCCAGCCCATCACACGCCATCATGATGACAGCATGCCCCTCTCACTTATCACTTTTTCCTGCATCCTCCAGGAGGAGAGTCTAAAGTTGAGAGTCAAAGAGTTGACGGTTTCATTGGCCTCCAATGAAAACGAGCTGGAAGAGGCCAAGCAAAAGTTGAGGCCAAGCAAAAGTCGATTGAATCTGAGGTAGCCAAGCTACAACAGGAGAACCTGCAGGTAAGCCAAGTCTTTGACCTGTTACTTGCATCTATCGTGGGTTGGCCCGGCCTCCAGCTTCGTGCCACTCTTTCAAGATCACTTTCACGAAACCTGACCAATGATGAGATTGCCCCATGCAACGAATCGGTTTTGAAGAAGCACACAAAACTGCTCCAAGAGGTGAGAACATATTATATGTAATGCGTCCAGCTCATCACACGCTATCATGATGACAGCATGCCCCTCTCACTTATCACTTTTTCCTGCATCCTCCAGGAGGAGAGTCTAAAGTTGAGAGTCAAAGAGTTGATGGATTCGTTGGTTGGCGGGCTGTTCGGACTGTGTCCCCATTGATGAAGATTGGTGGTCCGAAGAAGCTCGACATGATCCCCACCTGTCAAGACATAATAGTGTCCCTGTGAATATCGAATGGATGGACCACCAATGGGTACAAATGATACCCCTGATGGTTGTGTGGTGTTGGCAACAAGGGACCATCCTTGAAAGAGATCGCCATTGCCATTGTTGTTGCCATAGAATGAATATGGTTCTGCCATCATGGCATATTGTACAGTTTGCCCCGCAGAAGCCTCATTGTCTTTTGCAGCAGCCGTCACAGAGTTTCTCACAGCTGTTACCTGAACGTTGTAGGGAGGCATGGTGTGAGGGATTTCGTGACGCTTCCAGGGGTGGCATGATGGAGGCAAAGATCTGCTTCCTTTGTTGTGTTCTAACAGCGTCCATGCCACAATCCCAGTTTGTGCAAAACACTCATGGTTAGGTTGCTTTATGCATCTGTTGCAGTCGGATGCAAACAGCCAGAGCTGTTCATGTTGATAATCAGGAAAGGGTGCGATGAACCCATACCGGTACCGGTGTCCACCGGTGGAGGATATTGGCCACAATTCTCCCCGTGTGAAAATCTCGAATGGGGGCGTAGGAGGCATTGGCGTACGATGGGAACCACTTGGACGCATGTTGGGAGTAAGCACAACCTGTATTCTCCAGTAAATAGAGAATCCCGTGCCATTCAAAGATACTGTTTTCAAATGTGTTGACTTCGATGCTGCCTCTCATGGTTATCATCAGTGGCGTTCGAGCGAACTGAACAAGATAATGAAAGAGATAGACCATGGGCTATCAGCCTTGTAGATACATTGCGTACAAACATCAACAACAGACCGCGTGACTTCGCTACCGGTACCGGTACCAAGCTCATTGGCATGCATCATTATTCGATTGAAATTACGTCTCCTGAGACGACGCACCTTTTGGTTACCCCCTCAGTTGCACTCTGGAATCGATTTGCCGGCATTTACTGTGTAAAATAGAGTAGCGGCACTTCAGTTGCAGAATAAACGGTCATGTGTATCCGTAAGTACCAAACCTGTACTTAACGTTTTTTAATGTCTGTACACGTGTGTGTGTGCCCTGTGTATGGTTAAGTAACATGTTCTCTTTCGAAAGATTTAGATCGATTCGTGGATAGAATGAAGGTTAAGGATAAACTGAATCATTCAAGGATTCGATTCGATACGTCCATCAAGTCTTTTTTGAAGGCACAGCACTGACTTCTCTCCCTCATTGAATTGCTATGGCAAACAGGAGAGAAATCCGAGCTTGGCCGACAAGAGCGGTGTTGAATCGATCGATCGAACGACTGGTACGGTGGTACGGAGGTAAGCATACCTATAATCAAGAGTGTTATTGAAGGTGCAGATTCGAAAGCCATCCCTCATTGAATTTCTATGGACCACAGAAAGGCAGTCAGATCTGGCCCGCCAACAGGTGAGTTGTTTTAGTTATTTGAATCGAATCAATCGGTCGCACCTCTATTGTCTCGACTATCAAGCCTCACTCAAGCCGTCCTTCTCTGGTGCAGATTCAAAAGCCATCCCTCATTGAATCCTATGGACCATGGGATGGCGGTCAGTTCTCGGCCCATGACGGCCAAGTTGGTGATTTGAAAAGCAAGGGTAAGTCGCCGGTTTTCTTCAGTGTCAGAATAGAAGAGAAAACCATAGCTATGTGTTGAGCAGCAACACGCCTGGGGAACCCCCCGTCCGAGTTTCCACGCCCCGCAGCGTGGAAACTTGAACCCTGATGGGTTCTCGCAACTATGACCCTAATCATGGTTGCCGAGAGGACCATCTCACAAATTGCAAAATTAATTCCGGCGCTCCTCACCTACAACTCAAGTACATCTCTACATCTCGCAGGTCATCACCTGTGTTCCGGAAATGAATACCCCACATGATGATGCACCGCATCAGCTCCTCAATGCCTCTCGAACAAGATTACCCTTAAGGCAACGACGCCCGTCCAAGACCACATTTGGCAAGATCGACAGCGGCAACCATGAATCACTAAAGCCAGCGACCTAGCCAAGATCAGCCATTGAACTGCCGATCGCAAGAAGGTTGTCTCTCTCTCAGCTCACAATTCTTCATTCAGTCGACGCTGAAGGCAAGAACCTAGATTAGATTAATCTCTTGCGCCGGCATCAGGTTTCGTATCTTTTCGACCCTCACCATGGCCAGCTCTAATTTTTCGGATCTCGTCTCTCGTGCAGCGGCATGGGAGGTACATGCTCCTAACTACACTGATATCCTCACTTCTGTGGGCGGCGCCTCGAATGCAAATCGTGATGTTGCCTCTCGCGTTATGAGCCAATTTTGCCTTCGTTCACCTATCACCTTTGGCTTCGTCCTCCAAAATGACGAAACGAATATCTACATTGGACACTCACTCTACGCCTACCCCGTGAATCCTAGCCAGGTCTCTCCTTACGACAATCTCTACGCTATTGTGGTGGGGAACGACCTTCGAAGCGCTATCACGGTGGTCCTTCCCATGTCAGCGTTCGAGCGCATGGCTGACGTAACCTGCCACAACTTGACAATTATTGACGGAGGAACGATGTTTCCCACTGCGCCGGCTCCTGTGCTACACAGTGGCCCCCACGGCGGTGGTGTCGCGGACACTGATGTCTTCCGGGTCCGTCGTGTGATGCCTCTTCCGTCCTATCTCTCTGAAGCCGTCCTTGTGGCCCGTCCCGAAGGGCAGTACAGTCTTCCCCAGTTCCGTGCGGAAGTCCTTACCCCCGAGATGACTCACGCGGATCCTGCGCGACAGGCTGCCATCGCCCCTTTGGTCCAATGGTTCCACGCCTGTTGCACGTTGGTCGCTGGAGGTCACACGTCCACTAGTAATGCTGCTGCTAACGCGGCCGCGCCCATTAGCGCAAACGCGCTCCAACGAAGCACAAACCGGGTACTCCCCCCCTACATGGCAGCGCTTGGCGCGGTAGGTCCGGGCCTAACCAACGCAACCTTCAACGTGGGAATCACGAACCTACGTGATACGCTGGAGGCCACTGTTGAACAACAACTCCAGTATAACCGTGAGAAGAGCAACAAAACCTTCACGGATAAATTCGGGGTCGCCCTAGCCACTCACGTCCACAACCTCTGCAACGTGGCCGATGACGCAAACCTTCCCGTTATTCACCGTCTGCTCGCGAAGTCCCCCAAGGGGAACGAACACGGGATCTTGCAAGCTCAACTAGACGAACGCACTCAGGCTTCGGCACTGCCCATTAACCTCGCGAACAAACCCTTGGTCACTGGACACATTCTGGATCGTGTCTTCCGCAAGTACTTCGTGAACGGTCAAGGGACCACATTGGGCGAAGGCCTCTCCCCCTTCTCGGTGGTGTGCCAAGGCCATTACTTCCTGTGGGTCAACGAAGCTATCCTAAATCCGGGCGCTGCTGCCCCCAGTGCACTACGCTAAAAGCTAGTGTAAAGATCTTTCGAGTGTTTTGAGTTTGAGAGAATGAAAGTTATGAGAGGATTAGAAGCTATGAAAACTAATCAACGAGAGAGACAACAAAAAGGATCGTAGATCTGAACTCCGCGGAGACTGTAGAGTGTGATAGAGTAGGTTGCGGTAGCAATCCTACTCACTCCACGATCCAAAAACGGAACGCGTGGAAGATTCGCCTAGCATTATCTAGTAGCGTGGAAGTACTCCACGCTGGCTAAATATCTAGAGCGATGTTTCATCATCAACCTAGTATGACTAGAGCGGTCATTGAGAACCCTGTCTCAATGACTTTCGCGAAGGACTACGTCATGAGTCAACTCAAACCCTATCTAGGACGAGTCGCGAACAAGGCTAAGAGCCGTGTATTGCATTCGCCCCCTGACAAGGTCACGGAAGGCACGACATCGTCGGACAAGGAGAACATTGATTTAAAGTGCGGGGCACTCTCCGGAGATTGGATGTAGAATGTGCGTCGCACGATGGCAATCCTACAAGGGGATCAGGCCTTGTATGGGTGTAAATACCTTATGTTCCAAGTCTGGTAGACTGTGCCGCTACTGGCGGTAGTATGTCGGAGCCGTACAGTGCCATTGTTATTACTCGGTCTGTGTGGTAAGGACCTTGTCGTTGGCTGACCGTACTAACGGTTCTGATACTGATGAATCATCGTAGTATCGTTGACATGGTGTTGATAGGGACACGTGTCGGTCTCCCTATCGTGTTCTTCTGGATAGTGGTTGGCGACGTTCTTAATGTATTTCCGGTTTGCTTTGAACGGTTGTGGTGAGTCTTGTCACGATTGACGCGCGTAACTTGCGACGAAGTCCATGTTCATCCCGGAGAGTCTTTCTGACCTCTGCGCGGGACTCACGTTCTCTGTCCATGACAACGGTCATGGATATGGGTAACCACGTCGTTTCAGAACGATGGTTACTCCGTCTGCTGTCTTGGAGCAGCCCTTGGTAGTTCATTGGTCCAATGAATCTACGAAGTTCCTTCCTGTTGGTAGGAAGAGGATAGCTGGATCGCATCTATTATAAGTTGGGTTGGTTCCTTTCGAGTAGTCCAATTGTCTGGATACTCCAGTTCTTCCTTTCGAGGAAGGCCTTGTAGTGTTGATTTCCATCCCGACTTCCGGAAGTCTTTGGAAAGGTCATCTAACTATTCAACGCGATCCGTTAGATCGACGTCCGTTAGGATGAGTTGATCATCAATGTATGCACGGACATTTTCTAAGTCATGCATGCGTTTTTTCATCTTCCTTGGAAGATGTCGGGACTATTACATAAGCCCATTGGCAACTTCTGGTACTCGTGCTTTCCCTCCAGGAGTGCAATGGTATAGTGTTGCTTCGAGTGAGGTGACAGCTCGATGTGGTAGTTGTCCCGTTGTTCGGTCTAGACTGTAGGGCACTTGAATCCATTTAGGTTCAAGAGCATCCTCGTATTTTTGGGATAGGATAAAGCTTCCGCTTGCTCCGTTTGTTTGGTTCCTGAAATCAGAGATGAATCGTACGATCCCTCTTTCTTGGGAATGATAAAGTTGGGCGCCCACTGGGAACGATTATTCTTGAGTACTCCTGCCTGCAGAGACGTTCAACCTTTCTTAGAGTGTTGGTAGGACCGTGGAGTAGGGTGAGCCCTAGTATAATAGGATTTAGCGTCGGGACGAAGTTTCTACTTCGTGAGTCGTCCATTCGCACTCTCCCAAGTATCCTTGACGGGTCGAAGCACTTGGTTGAAAAGGCATGAGGCAGTTCTTGCTCTTCCTTATTTAACGGTTTTCGACTCTGGCACATCTGCCTTAAGTCTATTTGTTCGTATGTCGTGTC